TATTCAGCCTCCACTGCGACAGTGGAGTAAGTCAGTGCCTTTGACCTGTGTGAAATGGTTAATTGCAATGATGCTTCCGTTTAGGAGTTGTTTTTGCACAGTTTTCATCTCAAGAAAAGTTTGTCATCACAGATGTGCTGGGGTTATTGTATTTCTGACAACGTCTCCTTTTCCTTCCTTATGCGGGTTTTGTGACTGTAAATCTTGAAAGATTTACCTGGTTCCCCACCATTGCCATTTTCAGTCGAGTAAGAACCAGGTGGCTACTTGCATTTGGAGCAGAGACAAGCTGAAGTGCTTCTGTTCTCTGGATATAATTTTGAAGCTTGGAGTAAAGACCCTACAAAGCGACCAAGAATGTTGCTTGCTTTGCTTTCCTTCAGACAGTTTAAGAAGAAACAAATGTCAATTTTGCCCCAGTGAAAAAATGTTAATAATGTGACATCTCAGATCGTTCTTTTTTAAAATACGATGTTACTTTATCTCTCTCCTTTCCCCTCCCTATGCCCCCTTCTTGCTGACACCCTCAAATCCCTCAGCAAGTCCAGGGTAACAACTTTATCCTTTCTGGCAACATGATCTGGCACGAAAAACTAATGCAGTCAGTTTAGTTGCATGGTGTCCTGCTGCGAGTTTTACAATAAGGAATGAGTCTGGTTTCTGTGCTGTTGCTTCATTCCTTCGGCCGTGCTCTTCACCGGCTTGAGCTGCCGCTGAAATAACAAAGGCTGTTCTGCATCTCAGGCTGAAGGATACGTGTCGTTAGTGCATGGTGTACTTGTGTGCAACCAGAAGGAAAGTGCGGGAACAGACTGACCGTGTAGAGGCTGGGTGTTGTGTTAGCAATGCTGTGTTGCACGAGCGATGTAGTGATGCTGTAGGTGCTGCCGCGGCATTTCAGGGGACCTGGGCTTCCTGTTGTTGGTCACAGGTCATCCATCTGCTGTCCAAATAACAGCCCTCCCCCTTCTTGCTCTGCACGTAGTGGATGAATCACTGAGGTTTTTATTTCGAGGGCTTAGCATGTGACAGAGACCTTTCTGAAGGGAAGAAACTCAGCTGGGATATGCTGATGGTGCACCCTCCTCTGGTGCTGCTTTTGAAGTCTGCTGTGGTATGCGAGGATATTTAAAGACTTTTTCTCTCTGCCACTTAACATTGCAGTGAGGCGAGGTACCTATACTCCCCAGTCCTTGAGCTGTGATTGCCTAATCGTTGCCGGCATGCTGTAGGCTGATGCTTAATGTGCTTGGCATCTCTCCATGCCATCAGTCAGCTCGATACTTTCGTTCACTGTTCCTTCTGCTAAATGCAGCACTTAATTTCCAAATCTGTATTTCCCGAGGGTCAATCACCAGCAAAGTGATAGTTACTGTTCTGCAGGAAGTAATTTTAAGGAGGTGTGGATTTCCACACGGCCAGAAAAGCTTCTTGTCATCCATTAATACTGGCTGCTGTGGGTCCTGCAGTGTGATGGTTTCTGGCCACGTAGCTGCGTAGTTGTCTCCATACAGATGAGGGCGTTTGTCCTTCATCATGCAAGCATGAAATCAAGAACAGAAGGTTAAATGGTCTCTCTGCCTGCTGCTCCTCATGTCAGTTCAGACCCCAGTACTTGGTTCAAAGCTCTGTGCATATCAAGCAAAAGTGACCCTAAAATGGCCCCAAACCCCACTCCTACTGCCCTTGGTTCTCTTTGATGGAAAGTAATCCCTTTCTCTTGATGGGGTTTCCCCTTCAAGCTGTTTTCATGCAGCTACTCGCAAATATCCTAAGGGCTTCCTGCAGACTATTACAGTTGTGGTGAGAGCCGGCACTCATTGATAATCTCTGCAAAGAGTACTGCCCACATCATAAGCCTTTTGGCAAAAGGCTGGAGAACTGCTGGTGCTTGCTTGCTGACAATCCAGGTAGTCCTATAGCAGCACTGGAAATCTCTACCACAAAATTAGGCTATTTTAAATGAAAGCTGGTTAAACTAGTTGGAATACATTGGAAGGTTGCCTGATGATAGCAAGAGGACAGGGTTCTACTTCTGCTGGCTGTTTAAGTATCTTCTGTGTTTACACCAGGCAAGACTCCACTGAAATGCAAGAAGGCTGTATTAGGCTCTAAGGCTTTGGTTTGAAATGTATTTCTGTTTCAGTATGGTACCAGAGAAAAACACCTACTCTGGCTGCAGCGTTGTTTCACGGAAGTTGCAAAGGATTTCAAAGGTGCTTTAATATGTAGGGGGGGATACAAAACAGGTGTTTGTTTTGCTCGATGAGTCCCAAAATATTTGGATGCAAATGAGTCTTCTATCCAGGTCTGCTGAAAAGTCTCATGACAATTAAATAGGTGGCTTTCTTCCAACAGTTAAGCTGTTACATACAGAAACTTTATGAAAGAGCAGAGGACTCTTTTCTTGACAAAGGAAATATTCCAGTGTCAAACCTTTGAATAAAACCGAAGTAAGTGGTATGTGGCAAATACCAACTTGACCAAGCAAAAAGCATGTGAACCAACAGAAAATCTCCCATCTCCCTGAAGGTGACTGTCTTAGGCCACAGGCGAGGAGCATGGCTCATGACAGATAGAACAGTAGATTTGCAAAGGTTTCACCTGCTGGGGTCTAGGTGCAAGAGTGAAAGAATGAGACAAGATCCTAATATGACATAGTATGTGATGTAGGTAATGTACCGAATTTGAACATATGGGCATTCAGGACAATCCAAAATAGATTTGCTTTTGGCACACATCACCAGTTGCCTTTACTGGCTGCTTCCTTCTGCTCAGTCCACACAAAGAAATGGCAACAGATGTTTTCTTTTTGAAAGGTATATTTGCTCAAGATAGCAATATTATCTGTGCCAGTAGCCTACTCAGATCATTAATTATCAGTTTTTCCCGTTCAGATTTTTAAAGAGAGCTGAAGAGTCTTTGTGATTTAGGCTCCTTCATCTCCATCTTGCGTTCTGCAACCCAAGGTAACTTGTGCACTAATTGCCGAAACATATTTACTTTTATAAGGTTAGAGCAAAGCTTCTTTTAAACTGGAGGTCAATGTGGGCTACATTTTCTTATTGTTATAACAGGTCATAGAAACAGTTTCTTGCCATTTGCAATCTGAACTCATAACTCTTTAAGCTACTAGTATCCCCCCTTATTTATTTTTGTTAGACCTCATGAATGTCAATAAGTGAATGACATGCATTCATCGCCTGTGTAAATGAAATGATTGGCATTTGATTTTCTGCCTGCCGCCTGCCTGCTGGGATTTCCATTTGGAGCTATTATTTCAGGCTGCTTTGCGCTCGCTCCTCAACGTGTGCAGGCTTTGTAGGTTTTAGCAACCTAAGTATTTCGGACATTAATTCTTCTCACTTGTGAAAACATGATGTGCATTGTAGAGTGCAGCCCCATCAAACTTCTCCAAATGATACAGCTTAGCTCATGAAACTTTGGAGAAAATGGTTGCTTAATGTAGGGCTTTCTCTTCTTCTTCTAAATGTATTTCCAAGTGCCACAGGGCAGTTTTATTGCATCCTGGGAAGCGTGTAGGCAGTGGAGATGTGCTGCTGTTTCATATAGACGAGACTGATGCAGGAACAGCTCTTCCGGGTGGTTCAGGTTGACCCTGGACACGTGCATGCCTTGTGCCTTGGGTCTCCCTGTGTTTACTGGGATAGTGATGATGGGTGGTGGTTGGGGATGGAACCTTAAATTGGAGGATGAAGGAGAGGTTGCTTAAAACAAGGAAAGCTTCAGTTTTGGGGCTTGTGCTGGGCTGTCCGTCTGTGCTGTGGGTGGGCTGTGTACGCGGACTGACTTTGCACTAGTAGCTCTTTATCCCTTTAGTGGGTAAACCAAGAAGAGTTTCTCCTTGGTCAGCTGCTGCCTCCCAAGTAGCAGGCTGGATCTGTGCATGCAAGTGCTGGAGGCTCAGTCTGTTAGAGATGAGCACCCTTAGTTCCAGCCCTGGGCTTAACTTCAGAGAGGATTTTGTTACATGCAGAAGCTCTGCCCTGCCTCACAGTGCAAGGGTATCTGCAGAACTGGTACTAAACTACCTGATGCTCCCCACTGCCCTCCCTGGAGCTGCCTTCCTCCTGCTTAGCTTCCCTCCTCATGCTCCTGTGCCCAGATCTGGGCTCACAATCAGCTGAGAAAGATTGTCCCTTTAATGAGGAGGTGGTAAAAGGGCTCCCTTAATACTTGTGCCTCCCCTGTAATCCTCTGCAAAAAGCACCCCTTAGGGCATGAGCAGCTGCCAGCTTGTTAAACAGTTAACTGGATTGTAACACAAGTGATTAAAAAGTGCTCATCATCTTTCAAGGGTACGTTAGGGAACCCTATGGTCAGAGCTTGTGCATTGGTGCTTCACAGAGACAGTAGCTCTCACACAGGATAAATAGTCCAGGTATAGTGTTCACAGCCTTAGTGATAAACACGGGTTGATAGCAATGCACTGTGGAAGAGGTTTGCTCCTGTGTTGTTGGCTGGGTGTTTTCATTGTTGTCTTTTAAAGCTGTAGTTACATAAAGTGTTCTGACAATGGGGTGCCTCAACTTTCTCAACAAGCTTATTAATCTTTGGCTAGCTGGCAAGCACGCAGGTTCAGATTTTATCCTCTTATGGGTGTGTGTATTAGCTCTTGTAGGTTCTTGGATTGATAGGGATGTAGTTAAAACTGAGGAAAAATGGGTGCAGCTGCTCCTGTCTCTCCTAATAGTTTCCTAAATGCTTTTGGGGGTGGGGGGCGGTGCTTTAAATGTGTTACAATCCTAATGGAAATTTAACTTGTTAAAGTATTTGTGGCTTTGCTGGGGAAAAATGCCTTTATTGTGTATAGTGTTTTCAGTTTGCGAGTCAATGCCATCATTTTACAAGGTTGCTGGAGGAAGTCCTTTTGCTGAGGAAGCTCTAGCAATGTGAACCTTGCTGTTGTTTTATTATTTTTTTTTTTCTTTTCTCCTGAAATTAATCACTTGTTACTTTGCTTTTGGTTTCCAGGGTCTTGGTTGGTGCTCCCAGGGCAGAATCTAAATACAGCACCTCTGTTCAGTCCCCAGGAGCAGTGTTTAAATGTCGAGTCCATACCAATCCTGACAGAAGATGCACAGAACTGGATATGGGTCGAGGTAGGCAGTTGCGATGCTTGGGGGGGGGGGAGATGGAGGAAACCAAAAAAACCAAACCATACCCCAAATGGCTAGCAATCCTCCTGACAGCTTCAAAGAGGCCCCAAGACACTGAGAGGGATTCGTCAGCCTCTCCTGACAGATTTTGAGCACTGGTAGTAAAGGTGTCATATTCTCTTCAGCATTACAAAACAGCATCCCACCTGGGGCTGGTGTTCTCCCAGTGGCCCTGCTCTCTCTCTGTCTCTCTCCAGCGAGCAACCAGGCAAAGGTGGATTTTTCCCTGCCTACCCTAAGCTGCTGTCTTTTCTCCACCTGCTTCGGTATGGCTTTGCAGCATGTCGGTGGGTATGTGAGTGGTTGGGAGCGCTGCTGCCTGCTCCAGGCAGTGCTGAAATAGGGGTGTGTGGGATGACCCCAGGCAGTGCCTTGGTGGGCCCATGATGTGTGGTGTTATTAGCAACGTGGGGATTAGTGGGTTCCCTCGCAATGCAGCAAATCATTCCTTGGGTTTGCTTCTTGTGCTAAAGGAAATAAGTTTCTCTGTGAGAGCCATGCTTGTACAGTATTGCACGTGACCAGGATTGACTCTGGTTTCTTTGATGTCCTGTCCCAACTCAGGGGGAAGGGGAGTCCTAAAGTAAAACTCTGATCTAAAATCTCGTGCTGGATTCCAATGGAGAGAACTGAAGCCTTTTAATATTTTGCTCTTCTTGGTGACATGCATGTTGCTGCTTTCTCTGCCTATGAAAAAGGCATGTTAGTATTGTTCATCTTTTCATTAATGAGTCAAGTATAATTTATTTTTATGAAGCTTACTTGTGTTAAAACAGTATTTTGGCTAAGTTTGATTTGTCCTGCTACTGTAATGTAAACTGTGTCTTAAGGATTTGTGAATACTGCCTGACAGGACTAAAGATTTGGGCTTCAATTTTTTTTAAATGCTCCAGAACTCATTTTCAAGAGTAATTTTTGCTTTGATTGCATTCTGCAGGCAATCCCACATATCTCCCATTGACTTCATTTGGATGGATTATTCAAGTAGAGCTGTGGAGATGCTGTAACAGCTGCTGGCTGTTTGGGACAGGGTCTGTCCTCTAGTATGTATTTGTATGATGCCTAGTAAGAGTGAGAGCATCACCCTGATTAATGCATGCAAGAACTCAAAATGCATACAAGAACTCGAACAAATCAGGATGCAAGGGAAAAGAAAAGCACTGTCAGGCAGATGTTTGATGGGCAATCTCTTTTCTTGTAGGGATTCTCTGGTGGGTTTTTAAAACTCATGTCTCCTTGCCTTGCTGCCTTTCTGATCTTTCTGTAGGCAATTCTCGGGGCACACTCTGTGGAAAGACCTGCAGAGAAGACAGAGATGACGAATGGATGGGTGTGAGCCTGGCTAGACAGCCGAAGGCTGGTGGAAGCGTGCTGGTAAGTCCACTCTTTTCTTTGATCTCATGAAAACCGTTGCTGCTGTCTGACTCTAATGCTAAACACGTCAGGATTAATGTGTTCGGCAGTGACTGACAGAGTCCAGCTTTACGGGCAGCATATTCTGTAGCCCCTTCCTTCAAGCGGAAGGAAAAGTGAGCCCCAGCCAGAAAGCTTTATTTATAGAGGGAGGACTTCAAAGCCGTCACACCTGACTTGTGTCACCCAAGGGCTTCCTCCTAAATCTGAGGGATTAAATCTTTGAACTGAATAAATAGAACTTTGTCTGGGAGGTACCTGCTAGTTTGTTCTTTTTGTTTAGGTAGGGAATATGTATGCATCCATTTTCCCTGAGCGTATGTATTGCTTGTCAGAACGTACAGTCAAAAATGCAAGATGAGTCTTTGTGGCAATATTTTTTCCTTATGTATATTAATTTTCCATTAATGAGGCAGAAGAGTTGCGAGTAGAGATGCCTTAGTTGTGTGTGGGTGGCCTTGTTGTCTTTGATATGGTTACCATGCACATAGACAGGTCAAGGAGAGCAGATGTGATCCTTAGGATGAGGAATTTATCTTTGCAAAACAACATTTCCTGTGTTGGAAAAAAAATAATCGTAGAGAGCTGGGCAAAAATCTTTCTAAAATTCATGGTTATATTATGATCAATAGTTGTCTGTGTTTACATCCGCGGTTGGGTTCTGACTGTCTACCTGATTGAGTCTGTCTGCAGGAATGTTAACCGAAATAAAAAAAAGAATTGCAGTAAAATGTTGTGCATAGTATATGTGGCAGGCAAATTTCAAGCTCTTATCAGAGTAACCCTGACAACAATCTAATTCTAAAGACTGCTGTTTGGGTGTCGGAAACCTCCAGTATGACCCCATATTTCCCATGAAATAGGGGATTGCCCTGGTACTTGGCATCAAACTGTCACAAAGCTGCTAGTGAGAAAGATCTTGCACAATGATTACTGTGCCAACGACGTGTGTGAGGCAAGTGGACAAAGCTGCTTCACTCAAAGGCATTTTTCTTAATATGAGCTTAGAGTCCAAATGATTACACCCTAAGTCCTCGCAGACCAACTTCCCCATGGGGGGGCAGGTGGTTTTTATACCTTTCTGTGATAGTAGTATGGTATTTTATCTGATTGTCTCTTTTGGTGTACAGCTCGTTAGTGCTATAGCGGCTGGCTGATGCTTTACTTTTCTTGGATGTCTTAAATGTGTTCAGCACTAGAGGAGGAGGGGAAAAAGAGAGGCATAAATGAAATACCCTGTAAACGTACAGCAGACCACAAAATTAAGGCATTCATGTAGTGTAAGCAATTCATGTTTTCAAGGGATATCCTGATCTGTATTTGTGCTCAGAGTCCTGCGTGACAACTGAGGAGTAACTTGCACTGATCAGGATAACACTACCTCAAGACAGCATCCACTCGATTTTCCAGTCATCTGGCTGAACTAGACAAATTCTTGTCCCATTTTCAGAAGGTAGCACATACACTTTTTTTAGGCAACACTGAGACATTTTTGAAAAAATGATACCTTAAGAATAATGGTTTTGTGGTTTAAAGGGGAACAGGTTGCAGCTGATGCTTAGGTGTCATCTCCTTAGACAAAAGCAGCAAAGGAAGGGAAAGCTGGTGGGGAAAAAAGCCGGGCAACTACCAAGGCTGGGGCTGGCTGCTAGCTGGCTGAGGGGAGGCTACAAGGGTGAAAGACATGGGCAGGCTGTGAGGGCTTAGGTTGGGGCTGAGGGGACAGAAATTTCGGACGTAAAGCAGGTTTAAAAGCAAAATGTAGCTAAAGTAAAATGTGCAGCTGGTGATGTGCTTGTTCTGGTGCAGCTTAAGCTGGTAAAATGTCTCCACAAGTTATGCTGATTTAAGGTAGTCCTAAACCAGCCCTCTGATGAGATTATACTGCCCTCACCAAATATATTGTGTCCGGATGCTCAAGGATGTTTAAATATCTAATTCCTATTGATATTTATCACCAAAGCACTCTGTCTTAAACTAGTAGTTCTACATCTGTGCACACCTGTGTGTGGACAGAGCCTGGAATGAAGAAGGCATATGGATTGCTTTGTGGATGGAAAATACCTAGCTGTTTCAGGGGACTGTTACTCTGTTTTGAGATAACTTTTTAATGAAAAAGATTTGTGACTTTCCCATAAGCAGATGGGTTTTTATACATGTGCTCCTCTAATTTTAAAGATAAGGATTTCTTTAAAATGCAGCTCTTCTTTGAAGCCTCTATGAGAAACTGGTATTCTGAGGAGACTTATCTGAATGCGTGTTTGTGGCCCTATCTGCTGATTTTTAGCTTTTTAATGAAATTACTAGCTAACTCTCATGAGCAATTCCATGTAGTTAGGAGTGTGTGCAGTCTATATTGTAGGCATTACAGCTCTATTTACTGCATCTCTTCCAGGGATTCCTTTAAGTCAGAGTTGTATCTTTGTGGTCAATAGCCCTGGATGGATATTTTTTTTTTTTTTTTTTCATACATAAGGGTAGTTGCTTTTTAAACCTGTGTGAACTATTCATGCTCTTGATGTCCTGTGTTAGAGGAATTAGTCCCACAGTTTAACTGTGGATTTTACAAAGAAGTTGTTGCTTTTGCTTTGAAACTGCTTAGTGGCTTAAATTTCTGTCTTATCAGCCTTCCCCAATTGCCTGATGAGAGTACCAGCTTCAGTGGAAAGGGGTGGTAGGGAAGGTGAGGAGTGTGCAGGGGGGCTTTAGCTGGTGTTTGGTAAAAAGTGGATTGCGTTTGAACCCATATTGTGCCAGAATGTTACTGAACCAGAGTTCTATGTTTGTGTGACGGACTAAATAGAAAAGCATCAAACAATGAGGATTTAAACAAATGAAGACGTAAGATTAGCTAAAAAAGCTCTGAGTTTGCAGTTCAGTGGCTTCCTGTTCTCAGGTATGCTATCAGTCAATATTTGCATTAATCTAAGTGCTGCAATAATACAGCTGAGATTGCCAGCTCTTTCCAAACTGAAATGGCAAAAGTCCTCCTTTTACTTTTGTTGAGAGAGGAACCAGGGACAGTGCATTATGATTTGGAGATAAGCCACATCCTTCAGTCTTCCTCTTCCTAAATACCCACCACATCAGTCATTACTCTGGTTTTTATCAAATGTTGCTATTTTTCATTTAAAGTAGCTGACTTACTGGGACATTTAGTGATTGTGTGTGTGTCTGTAAAAAAACCCATCACTGCAACAAAGCCAAAGTCCTAGGAAAGAGCAAACCAGAAGTGGTCTGACAGTGACATGTTCAAAAAGTCCCTTGTTTGTACTCTGACTTTAGGAGTCAGCGGAGGGCTCTATAAGGACCATGCATTCACGTGGGGCGTTCGGCCTCTGAAGTGAAGCCTGGGTGTCTTGTGTTGCTTTTCCTACGGTGCAAAGCCTGTGGCTGGTGTTCAATAGGCAAAAGAGCAAAGTGGCTGCAGTTCTGAAATGGCCTATTCATTACATTGTGGTAATGCAGTGTCTGCTGTCAATGGAGACCTCCCTGTGCTTTGCCCTGAAGCGTTTTATTTTGCTTCACAGGTTTGCATCCTTTTTCCCCTGTCCCATTGTGGAGCTGGAGCCTGTGCCCTGGCAGCAGCTGCTGAGCACCAAAGTGTGCTGACGGCTTCCACATTGTACAGGGCCCTGCCTATGGCTTGTATCTGAAAAAGGGTGTGTAAGCTGTCAGTTGTTTGCAATCACCTTAGGAAAAAAAAAAACCACAGACAAACCTTATCTACAGCATCAAATTCAGGTGACTCATCTCTGTTCCCAAGACCTCTTCAGACATGTGCCATCAAAGAAGGAAGGCTGTGGCCACCTTTGGTAGCACATCATCTTGCCTCAGTAACGTTGAATAATGCGGGGACTGCGTAGTGTAATCCAACTAAACATTTTTGGGAAGGCAGGAGAACCAAAAGCAGCTGTGGCAGGAAGACAAAGGTACTGGTTGCCTGGCTGCAGAGAAATGAGTTTCAGGGAGGAAGAGGAGTTGGTCCACTCCTGTCCATTGGGAAAATACCAAATTCTGCAGCTGTGGCATGGGGGTGGCTGGGGAAGCCCCTGCTGAGATAACTGAGGTGGAGCTCATCTCTTGGAGCTATGGGTACGAGCTGTCTGCAGACTCAGGGAGTCAGCAGTAAACTTTAGTGTGCCTGAATACACAGCGTGATGAAGATACAGAAAGGTGATCATTAAAAAAAAAAAAATCCAAACCAAAAACCCACCCAAACAAAACCAAAACCCTAACAGGTTAGGTAAGTGTGCCCAGAATTGCTGAAGTGAGCCCATAGTCTCCAGTTGATTTTGAATGTACTTCTTGGGCACCAGCTCCTTTTTTCCTCCTTATATTGTTCTGTCTTGGCCTCTGCACCTCACTCCTGGGCAAAGCCTCCTGCTTGTGATGAAATGCTGCTGCTTTCCTTGACTCTGTCATTTGTGCTCCTCTGGGAGAGATTAGTAGGTTAATTTATGTGGGTCCCTTGCAGTTTCTGAGATATAAAATGTCAAGGAATTTACAATATCACAATCCTTTATTTATCTTTCCATAATTTTAAAAAATACTCTTGGTCTGTTTCTGTTTGAGTTTATATCCGGAGTTGGGGTTGACTTGACTGTTGCTTTAATGGTGTATGTCTTTATTGTACTGTCTTTAAAAGGGCTGTGCATGTGTATATTTGTGCTCGCAGCACAGATCTGTCAGGAGAGAAACTATTTCCTGGTTACTCTGAAAATGAGCGTTTCATGTGCTGGCTTTTTGTTGCTGTTGAATTTTGAATGAGTGGTGCATGGGGATTAAAATCATAACTAAGCTTCCTTAAAGCACATAAGGGAGTCCCCAAAGCTGCTCTTTGCAGGACTCCTCACATGCATTTGGCTGTTGAGCAGAGTATCATCAGAAGGATCCTTCGCGTCACAGGTGGCAGCCTGCGCCATGCAGTGCGGTGCAGAGCTTTCCGTGGCCCCCGGAGTCCCTTGTTATCCCTCTGTAATAGCCATCTTCAGGAGATACGTGCTTCTCCTTGAGTGCTGGAAGTTAGGAAAGCAATAAATATCAAAGTCCAAATGCAGCACTGCTAACAGCAGAGCAGGTTTTTGCACAACCGGTTTTGCTCTGTTTCAGTTAAAAAAATGAGAGTAGTGTTACCCTTTCATGTCTTTCTGGTGTTAAGTGTATGGGAAGGGGCCTGTGTTGACTGCTGGATTGAATTTTGAGCTTCCCAGTGGCTGATACGCTTCCCTGGTCCTTTACTGGATAGGTAACACAACTGTGCCTCTCTTATGGATGTGTTTTTTTTAATGATGTTGAGATGCCCCCATGGGCAGCTCTGAGGTGCTGAGGCAGAAAAGTGGGGTAGCACAAAGGGAAGGAAGACAGAGGGTGTCTCGTCTGGGGAGGATAGGGTCAAATGTGGGGATCAGGAATGGGGCTGACGCAAAGTTTCCACAAAAAGTTTAAAGTATGTGGAGGAGATGATTTGTAGCATAGAGGCTGCTCTGTTCACATTGGACCAAGCCTTAAATGATATAAATTGACACATCTACACTGACTTCAGTGACTTAGACCAGCTGGAGATACGGCCCAGCATGTGCTCAAGTTCAAAGCCCTTGCTGTTTCACATTTTGTTTCCTTTTATTCCAAGTAACCCTGAGCGTCAGACAACTTCTGGTTTGCCTGGCAGCAATGCAGTGTTAATTTTTGAAGCAAATGGGTTCTAGGAAGATGTGAACCAGGCTCTGCATTGCTTGTATCTGTGCCTGTGTGTGGCACTTGTACTGAGCAAGTGTCCAGGTGAGACTAGTTTAGCTCTGGTTTTGCAGGGTGATCTTATTCTTCACTGTGAAGAGAAAGGCACCCTGATCTCTGCAGCTCATGTGCAACTTGACTGATGTTGCCACTCTTGTTGCCACAAACCTCTCGCATTTTCACTTAAATTCATTACCAGTAAGCAAAGCCCAGCTCTTCTGTCACCAGAAACAAGGCTGCCTTTCCCAGCGAGACAAGCCTTTGACTCGCACATGCATCCTCTGGTGGGATAACCTTCTAATATGGTCTTAGTAACCTTCTGAGTCTTAGCATCCATTCTGATCCTCTTATGTGTATTCTCAATGTCTTTATTGCTGTTTTTCCCCCTTTTCTGGCTTGGCTGGGTTCCGTTAGTGCATTTTTAGTTAGAAGAGCTTCACTGGCTGTACAGAGTCATACACAGTGAGAGATCTTGAAGTCTGCAGCGTGAGCTCTGTCTTGCTGTGAGACCTGTTGTTTTCCTAGTCATGCACCTGTGAAGGTGAGATCTGAGCTGTGTCATGAGCTGCAGAAGATAAGTGAGAAGATACTTTATCTAGAAAGAGTGGGATGTAGGGAGAGGACAATGGGGTTGTGGGGGGAAGGTGATGCTAAGAGGTTCTGTTCGTGCGTTCTCTGCCTTGGTCAGAGGGCTCTCCTGTGACTCTGGGTCAATAACGCATGTGATATGATCTGTTTAGGCATGTGCGCACCGCTGGAAAAACATCTACTATGAGACAGAGTACATCCTGCCCCATGGCTTCTGCAACATCATTCCCCCCAACCTGCAGCCCAACGGGAGAAAGCTCTTGCCCTGCTACGAAGGTAAGGAGTGTGGGGCTGGGAGCGGGGCTCACCTCCCTTGCTGCACCCTGTCTACAGCTGCTGTGTTTTCCCTTTACTTCCAAAGCCATCCGCACTAACGCTCGTTACTGATTTTTTCCTTTTTCGTTTTTGTTTTTGGTAACATACGGCTGCCTTGGAGCACAGCTGGGGTGGTGGTTGGGTCTTGAATGAAGTTGAGAGAGTAGCACAATGACTGAACGGGTGCTGTGAGTTACTGTGCATGGTCACACTTTACTAGAGGAATAATATGTCTCTGAACTGTGTTTTTGAGACAGCAGCTCTCTCTTCCCTTATATGAATAATCAGTAGATATTGATCTGAGCTTGGCCTCTCACGCTTTGCTGTGGCACAGAGTAAAAATCCTGAATTACATTGCAATGGGGGACCAATTTGCCCATCTTGTGGAACCACTTTCATTTTTGTGTTGTGATTTCTCAGAGGACTAGAGCGGGAGAAAAAGGGCTGCTTTAACACCTTGCTCACTTTGGGGAACTTCTGCAGCAGTTTATATTAAACTGCTGCTGTGTTTCAGGTGCTGTTTGGATGCTCCGAAGGTCTGGGTTTGGGGTCCACAGAGATGGAGGGCTCCAGCTCTGAGCAGTGGGTGGCTGCGCCTTGTTGGTTCTGTTCCAAATCCCAAGTGTCAATGTTTTAATTTTCCAGCTTTCTGGTACATGAGACTTGTATCGTGTTTCCTTTCCTAAAGACTTCAGAGAACAGTGTGTTTTGGGTCTCCTCAGCCAAGAGCAATTAACTAAACCAGAGGCATGAGTGTGTTGTTAGGAAGAAGATAGGATATCTCCTAAGTTATCTTGGCCTTCAGAGAAACATTTGGGGGGAAGCACCCTCTTGGTTTCTCCTGTCTGTCCTGGGCATTGTCTTTCCCCTCTTGCTGTAGGAGCCTGAGGAAGTGTGGGAGTTCGGAGGCCAAGACACAGCAGGGTTTGTTGTGGGCAAGACCTCTGATTTTATTTATTTACTTGCTTTTATTCATTTCCCCCCATCCACAGTTGGCAGCAGCCAGCAGCAGGCTTGCTGCTGACATTAGTAAGTGGGAAAGGGATAAGGCGGGGGATGTCCCGGCAAGTTTCTCCGCTGCTGGTGAGCGGCTGTGTCCCAGCTCAGCAGCCTGTGAAGCCAGCTCTGTGGCAGAACTGGGTCCACTCCATGCCCACTCTTTCTCCTGAGACCTCTTCACCTTCCTCTGGGCTTTGCTTCAGGACCTGCCACCGCAAACCCATGCGCCTGGAGATGGCAGACACTCATGCGTTGGGCATTTCCCAGCCCTGAAATTGGTCATTATTTGAAATGTGAGGGATTTTGTGTCTCTTGACCCAGCCATGCCAGCTGCTTTGCAGCAGAATACAACTAAACTATGTAAGCCTTCTTGTTGTGAGCACTGTCCTGCTGTATTTGTCTGTCTTTTTTTTTTTTCTCTCCCCCCTCTTGTCAGCAAAATTGGGGTAGGGCCTCACACTGAGGTAATGAGCTGCAAATCATCCGATATTAACTTTATGGTCAACATGCACATGCAGTGACGCTGCCGTGGCTACTTCTGAGCCTGTGGCACTGCTCCTGCACTGCCTTAAAAGCGGCTCGCCTGAAGCCGTGGTGGGGAGGTGGTTTCTGGAAGAGATGAACCGCTTGTGTTTTTCTGTGCGTCATGTCTTTGGAGTAAAACTGCTGCTAATCTGACAGGATATTTGCCAGGAATTGCTAGAAAATAGAAATGTGTGGGCCTAGTACATGCAGAGCAGCCAGTGGAAAGTTGGCAGGGTTGGTGCAGTACAATGTTGGCTTAATTTCACTCCATGCTAGAGTGAAAATTGGAGGTTTGGGACTGATTTTCTCTCCCCCCACCAGACATGAAATCACAAAGTATCACGAGGGATGGCTGAATTTGTTTACTCCTGGATCTTTTAGATTTCAATAAAATAAGCTCAAAGAGAGAGACAGCCGTGGTACGTCATGCAGAAGGATTCGTTGTTTGAGGTTTGCTGTGAAATAAGATTGCAGTCATCCTTGTAACCTTTTTCCTTCACTTTCTGGAAGCAGAAGAAGCAATTCGCCTCCACTGACACTGAGGAACAGCCCAAAGGGGAGAAGCGGTGAGTCTGATAGGGATAATAAGCATGGTGCATAATGCAGCTGAAGTGCTGCCACACCGAGAGCCTCTGCGGCCGTTGCCGGGAGGCTGCCAGACCCACAGCTGCAAACCCTGCACCCGGGAGCATGCCTTTGCCTGCCGAGATCCCAGCATCTCGGCCTTCTCTGGGACTTGCCATGTGTGCACGGGTGCAGGTAGTCGCGTGCTCGTTTCCAGAAGCCCCATCGTTAGCACAGCTAAGGCAATAAGCCCCGTGAGAGGCTGGTGTGGCTGCATGGTCCACAACCAGAGCTGGCTGTCGCCTAACTGGCGAAGGGTGCAGGCCAGTCGAGTGCACATCAGCAGTCTCCATCCATCTCTGTGTGTGTGTGTGTGCACACGCACCTGGAGACGGATTATTCACTTGTATAACAGAAGTCTTGTGCCAGAAAGGGAGAGGAGTCTGACCTTGGGACAGACGTACTTAATGCATACAGTATGTTTTCTCTCCACATAAAGCAGGCTTAATAATTAAAGATAAAGGAGGAAATGGAATTTTCCTGACTGGATGGTAGTGGTGCAACAACATAGTAGTCTCAATCCATCTTATTCTTGTCCGGCTTCCCTGAAAGGGCTGACAGAAGTCTGGAAACGATTGAGAGCTAATGAGAACAGCAGCAAGCCTAATAGTTAAATGCAATCTCTCTGAGTAGGAACTAATCTGGTTTATATGAGCTGGTGTCCTTTGTGGTATAGCTGGCTTATGGAGCCACAGTCTTCTAGGCAGTGCTTTCACTTGGTTATTTTTCCCCATAGTTTTAATGGCCTTCCAAAAAAAGGGAGCTGCCTCTTCATTCCCCTGATGCATTCAGTTTGCAAAGAAGAAGGGTGGCTGTGTCTACTGTGAGAAGCAGCCCAGCTGGTGGGGAGAGATGGGGTGGCTTCCTAGTCCTCTGTGGTAGGAGTTGGTGGCGGAGGTGGGCAAGACTGATGGACCCTTTGGTTAGTAAATGAGGGGAACAGCACATACTCACATGCCTCGCCTCCAAAGGGATAAGCAAGTTTTCCCACAGGGTCCAGACCACATCTGGTTTTCTGGGAGCCATCAAAACATCCCTGCTTTGTGGTCCAGACCCACTACCACAATGCTAGGTCAGAAAGATTACTACTGTTGCATGCTAGAGTAGTGAAACACTGTAAGATAGGAAGGAAGAGACTTCCAGTGCGAATGATAATTGACTGTAACTGTCCACTTTGTTTCCATCTGTCAAGATGGTAGATAGAGGATTTTATTGCACCCTGAAGCTTATGCTATGTTATGGCATTGAAGTTTGCTTAGAGACTTTTAGAGTGGTTTGCTCGGAGAAGAAGTTGTGGAGCATTTACCTTCAAAATCGTCACACATCCCAGCTTATCCTTTTTATTTGTATGTTGTTTTATCCAATTACTTCTCCTCAGCCTTACTTCTCTTATAACCTGAGAGCATCACGGCTACAAACCACTACCACCTTCTTCTCTTTTTTGCTTTATGTATTTATTCATGGCACATCTTCAAAGTCGCAGAGGCAGCCGCCTCTTCCAGACTTGGCCTCATCTTACTGCTTTGCTATCAGCTGTTGCCGCAGCAGTTAGTTTAGTGTCTTGTGGTCTGTGTAATCGGGGGTGCACAACAGTCTGCAGGCAGACAAGAAAGAATAATAAAGTATAAAAAAGGATCTGTTCGTGACAGCAGTTATTGCCTGGAGCTATGCGGAAACTACCGAATCCACTGCATGCGCTATCTAAGCCTCACGCAAATGTTGCTACTCAGGTGTGCAAGAGCTGTGAGCTGACACAGTAACTGCACAATTTCCTGCTGGTTGGTCATCTCACTGCATTGATGGATGGATGGCAGCGTCGTACAAGTGACAGGTGTCACTAGTGCGCACTGAAGTGGAGAGGAGGTAGAAGCAGTCCTGGTTTTCATGCCTTTTGGGCTCATCCGCTGCTTGGGAGAGGCAGACTGGCTTTAGGGAGGAGTCGGAAGTCTGTGGTGCTGGGATGTGACTGTCCAGGACAGGGTGGCTGTGCTGGGCTGTGACCATGGGTGCATGGCTGGAAAGGAGCCCCGCCTGGGCGTGGAGTGGGGTGGGTATGCTGCCGCAGATGGGAGTTAGGTGGGCTGACAAGGAGAAGGGGTAGTTTTGTGGTGAAAGGGTTATGTTGGAATCCAGGAGCCCAGTGTCTGTCCAGGTGAGGCTGCGGGCCCCCTGAGGAGGACTGTGTCTGTCTGGATCCCCCTGAAAACGTGCTGATCTCTGCTCTGTGTCAGTGGAGCTTTAAACGCTCAAATAGTCTCAATGTCTGGGGTGTTTGGGCCTCTGTGCTTCTGTTCCCTCTTGCGAAATGTCACTAAAGCCATTTTTTCTCTCAGAGGTGTTAGGAAAACAGGTTAATCGGTGTGTGTGATGTTCTCAGACCCCATAATGATGCGATGGAGTCTTGATACCTATAGGGAGGAAAGGAGGGTCATTGCTTTGCACTGTCTCTGTGTGTCATGCTGCACTACTGTAATGAATCCATTTCTTCCTCTTTTGTAAGCTCCTTTCTTTTTTTTTTTTTTTCTGAGAAGCATTGTCAGGTATTTATTCAAATCAAAAAGTTTTGATGTCTTTTCTTCAGTTCACAGAAGCATTGGTTGTATCCAAACTCTGAATTTACTTGAACTGCTGCAATCCCATCTGTCCACTGTTAAAACCAAAGCGTAACTAGTTATTTAAGTTATATGTAGGGCCATTAGTTTGAGCACATAGTACTGGCAATATAAGTGACTTAAAAAACACCAAACAACACATAAAGCCATGAACAATGTCTGTGAAAGTATGAGCTTCAGTGGATGTACCAACTTGGTTTATTCTACAACTGTTTAAACCACCAAATCTTTCCCATTCCTTATGCATTGCAGTTAGTAGTAATTCGGTTCATTTAAAAAGTAATTGTTTTTCATTGCCTGACAATGAAAACAATAATGTGTGTGTTTCTGTTCTTTCTAATACATATATTGCTGATTTTCATCAGCTGTGTTGTGTCCTCTGATGTTGGGACTTTTGTTTCAAGTTACTCCTAGATCTGAATTTGGTTGCCTTTTTTTTTTTTAAAGTAGGCAAAATTTATATTATAATAAAACAATGCTGTGAATTCGATAAGCTTTTTGACTTGATAGGAGAAACGGTTTAATTTTTGTGCATGTATTGTCTTATTGGAAGAAAATCATCTGTTTACCCTAAGAAATGAAGCAATTTTGCATGTTTGTTAAACACAACCGCGTGAGGCTACGGATCCACCCACCACTCTTCAGTAACTGGCTTGTTCCATTGCTAGAGCTGCTTCCCTTCCTTCTGCCGCCCTATGATTTTGCATGCCCTTGGTTTTTCTTTGCAGCCGAATTCAGGGGACGGCTCGTGGGCGCCTTTGGATGGGGCCTCTCAGGCGGCTGGAGTTACATGGGGCGGTGGTTCGGAGACCTTCAGGCCTCACCCAAGTCTATGGCAAAGCTGTGATGGCTGGAGAAGCCGCCATCATGTTTGAGGCTTTTAGGTGTTGCTGAATTGTGAAAAAAGTTCTGGGAAGCCTGTTTATAAAAGGAGAGGAGAAATCTGAAAATCCAAAACAAGAAACAAGTTTTGTTTGCCTCCCATCCCGTGCTGAGGCATTGCCTGCAGTCATGTCGTTATTCGCCTGACCTAAATCTTTCACTGCGCAAGTTAAATATCCTATGGCTTTTTTCCTCTTTCATTTTAAAGCAAATTGAGCTGTGTGTTTTTTGAAGGAGACACTTAAAGAAACTGTGAGCCAAGCGTGATACAATATTATAGGGAAATACAACATTTTAAATCCATCAAATTGTCAGTGGGGCCCACTTGCAGGAGTTGGTTATGGGCCTGACACAGAGAGCTATCGAGGCTTGCTCTGAAAAGAAATGTATGCGTAAGAAATCTTCTTTCCTTATGTCCCAGATGATGGGCTCATTTGGCTTTTAAGAGGCCGTACCCTGGCCAGGGTCGTGAGTAAGATCTACCAGGGACCATGGTCTCTAGTACCTAAAGGGATAGTGAGCCCTGTGGTCTCCTGGTGGGCTGGGGGCCTGGCTGGCAGGTCGGGTTGGCCATGGCTGTGCGGACCTGGGGTGGCTTTTCAGGCATGAGCCTGAGCCCCTCTAGCCCTCCATCAAAAAATATATATACCCTGTAAAGTGGGATTTAAGAAGGCAGTCTCTAAAGCCTTGAGCTCTGGCATTGCAAACGCTTCCGGCCAAGTTTAGCAGGTAAGGCAGAAGGATACTTCCAGACCTCCAGGGTGACAGTGGCTAGTGGCATTTTGTTTCGAATTACAGTAAGTTGAGTGCAAAATCGGGGAGAGGCAAGGTCTGTTCACACTTCAGTACATCATGTGAAGGGAACACCTTGGCTGGAAGTGAAAGCATCCGAATAGGATGGACGTGGAACTTGCTGCATTTCATCCTATGAAAGGGTGGGAATCCTGCTGTAGCGAAGACAGGGTCTTATGGACGTGCACAGAGCATTATTCTTCAGGAAATACAGAGGGAGAAACCTTATCTCCCCGGCTCTCTGAATAAAAAAAATGTTCATATCGATAAACAGATTTATTTTTTTTCCCAGGGAAGGAGTGCCTGGCTCTGTGAGAGACTGTTGTCGTGGTTTAACCCCAGCCAGCAACTAAGCACCACGCAGCCGCTCACTCACTCCCCCCCATCCAGTGGGATGGGGGAGAAAATCAGGAAAAGAAGTAAAACTCCTGGGTTGAGATAAGAACGATTTAATAGAACAGAAAAGAAGAGACTAATAATGATAATGATAACACTAATAAAATGACAACAGTAGTAATAAAAGGATTGAAATGTACAAATGATGCACAGGGCAATCGCTCACCACCCGCCGACCGACACCCAGCCAGTCCCCAAGCAGCAAAAATCCCTGCCCCCCCACTTCCCAGTTCCTAAACTAGATGGGACATCACATGGTATGGAATACACTGTTGGCCAGTTTGGGTCAGGTGCCCTGGCTGGGCATGAGAAGCAGAAAAATCCTTGACTGTAGTCTAAACACTACTGAGCAACAACTGAAAACATCAGTGTTATCAACATTCTTCACATACTGAACTCAAAACATAGCACTGTACCAGCTACTAGGAAGACAGCTAACTACATCCCAGATGAAACCAGGACACTGTACATGGAGAGCTAGTAATTCAGAGCCCCAGCACTTTCTGAATAGCCGTGAGCAAATATGGGCTTCATTTCTCAGTGGAATTGTTGTCATGCATTCCCACTAGGAAACCCAAGTGTGCTTCTGGGCCTCCTGCTCTGCTGGGACACACGTCTGCTTTGGGAGGACCCTGCCTCAGCCAAGGGCGTTAGGCATTTGAGCTGTAATTTGTGGATCAAGTCACTGTCCTGCATGGTCTCTCCAATTAAACTTCCCCCCTGTGCAACTGGTATGACCTCAGCAAATTCCTTAAAATCTGAGCATCTTTATGATGTTAGGAAGAGACTATATATAATATATAAAAGGGGAATGGGGCGTGTGTGTCGCTATATGTATATACACACACATACAATGTTTTGAAATAATTCTGTGAGAAGGCAGCAGTTTATGATGAATTCCTTTTGTTTTTCAGTAAGATAAAATGCAGTTCAAAAGGAACGTGCTTGGTTCCAAAGAGGCAATTTGCTCATTGATTTCATTAAAATTTTTATCATTTAGCAATGAGTTAATCGTGCTTAAAAAAATAATTCACAATTACCAGGCTATATGGTGAGTGTTTTTGGAGCCTGAATTACTGTAATACACAGGAAGTAGCAGTACTGGGCACTCATTATTATGGTAAATATTTGAAAATAATGCTTGGGAAAAAATGTGCAAAAGTTCTGATCCAGCTCAAAGTTTCAAATGCTCCTAATCTGAAAGTGTTTGGATTAAAGCAGGGTGGAAAGTGATTTTCTCCCCCACCCCAAACTTAATGTATTTTTAGAAATATTTTTTTCCTCTTCGGCAAAAAGATAAAGTAAAAATTCCTCAGGTTTGATAGGAGAAACAATTGCTACATAAAATACAGAAACAAAAACTGTGGTGATGCTGGTTGGTTCCCCTGTGAACTGGGAGCTCTGAGCAGGTGGCTGTGAAAAGCAGCAGACCTGAGCATCCCTCAAATGAGACTGTTGTCTGATCACTTAGGAATGCAGCGCCCTCTCCTCACTCACTGCCTCCCTTCTGGGGGAGAAGGCAGTGAGTGAAGGAATGTTTATGTGGGGGGCTCTGGTGACTGTCATTGTAGGGGAAAATCACTTTGTTTCTCTGAGGTAGTGATGGGCCTGAGGTTTAAACCTCCTAGTGCAGGGTTGGTGGCACGCAGGCATGTGCATCACCTTTTGCTGCCCCCTTTCCAGCTGTGCTGCTCTGGTTGCCAGAAGTGGAAGACTCCTGATGCACCTTTACTGGGGTGATGCTGCTGCTGTTACCATGTTACTGTGATACTGCTTGTTTAGCATCTCTCTCGGCAGCACGCTGGCTGTCCCCCCGGTTTCAGGCCCCTTGCTTTAACCCCCGATGTAGGTGAGGATGCTGCCATGGTGCACATTGGTGGCAGATCCGTTGATAAACCCAGGAGCCCTGTGTGGTGGTGTCTCTCCAGGCTGTGCGTGTGGCAATGCAGATGGCTCAGGTAGAGAGTGCATGCCATGCCAGGGATGACCATGGTTTGTTTTCTTCCCTTCTCCCATCCAGAGTACAAGAAGAAGTACGGAGAGGAGCATGGCTCATGCCAGGCAGGGATCGCGGGCTTCTTCACTGAGGTGAGCAGGAGTGCACGCACGGAAGGGATGGGGTTGATGAGCAGCTCTCCTGCTGCATGCCCCAGGAGGGGAGTCCCGAGCACGGCTTGGACAGCGGGCTGAGCGCTGGGCATGGTCCCTTCCTGCCAGCAAACACCCTCCTGCCTCGTACAGCCTCCCGGGTACCTGCATCTTGCACGCCTGCCCAGTGGTTTGTATGTAGGTGTATATGTCTCTCAAGGTCTGTGGACAAGAATGAATGAATTGACTCTGGGAAATGTCCTCAGGGAATGTTTTTATTGTGTACATCCCAAAACTTGCATAGAGATATTTCTGTGTCTAACATTAGCTCTTTACTTTAAGTGATGATGTAAAACAGTCCTCCCTGAACGGTTTTGTTTATGTATGTGTACATGTGAGCATATGTACGTATGTGAATATCTGTATGCACATACATATATGTACATAAGATAAACACTTTTTTTTTTTTTAGTTCTGCTTCAGTTCCTTATTGCAAAAAGATGGGGAAAAAATAGCGTGGTAAAATATATGCTCCAGAGCTGTTCTAAATACTGGAGCATATTCTTTCCTTGACAGAAGTCTATCAGCCATGTTTTAGTTATGTCAAGGATTAATTTGTTCCCTTATATATGAATTGATGGGGTTTTGTAACATTTCAGGGTTGGGGTTTTGGGGGGTTTTTTGTTTGGTTGGTTGTTGTTGTTGTTTTGGTTTGGTTTTTTTTTTTTAAAAAAAGCTATTTCAGTGTCAGGCTCCTCGTTACTGTCATGTCAAGTATATACTCGCTCCTAATTATATATGCAGTAATTTGCAGAATTTATTGTCCAGGCTGATAAAAGCAGAATAAAGGTGTCATCTCTGAAATGGCAGAAGGTGATTTCCAAGTAAACTGGGATGGCAGGCAACGTTGCTACAGTGGCAGTCTTGATAACTGGATGTTCAGCCAGCAGCAGCTGTTTCCTGGCTTGTCTGCTCTTTCCAGCCTATTTTTGTTCCCATGCTTTAAATCCTTCTTTGCTACCCTAGTTCAAAAGATATCTTTGAACTTTCATTGCTTCAGCCTGATGGCAGCTCACTGAGCAGGAAACACAGATAAATGGCTTTTTGGGTGAAACAGGCAAGCCCCTACCGTATATTCAGTGCTGCTGATGGTAGTCATTCCTGCCGGTAAATGATCCCTTGACCTCAAGGGCATGGCCCCTCCCAAGGAAAAAAAGCTGTTGCCAAGCATATCCTGCTCTTTGGTCGGGTTTGCAATCCTGTCTCCATCGTCTTATTAGAAAAATCCCTTGTTTAACATCTTGCCCCAACTGGAACTGGTCACCCGAAGGGAACCCGGGCGTGGGAGCGTTTTCCCACAAGGATGGAGTCCACCCGTGGCCTTGCATTGAACGGAGATATGAGGCAAAGCAGCTGTCATCCTGTCTTCCCCAGGGATGGAGAACTTACCTAGGGTTAATGCTCCCCAGGCTTAATTTGGTCCCTTGCTGGAGGTATTTAAAACCACATCCAGGAGTAAGGTTTCCCCACAGGGATGCTGAATGTTTTGGGACAATGTTTTCTCAGTCTCTCTTGCATGCAAATGTACTTTGGATTTTGATTCAAAAGCGTTATCCATGAGCATCTGCCTTTGAATGCTAGATCAAACTTTGCCTGATTTCTAGTCTTTTAAAACCCTGAATCATGCTGGGTGTCTCTAATGAAATAGAACCAGATTGTCTCTCAAAGAGCAGAGCGTATCTGAGGACAGAACAAGGCAAAATGTTCCAACCATGACATAACACACCCCCTGGTTTTTGAGTGCATGGCAGCTCTTTAGCTTCAGAGTAGTAAAATCAAAATCTTTTGTGCTGTGTTCTTCATGACACAGATTGGTGTAGCATGTCAGCCAGCACTGTGGCACGGTCTGTAGCTGAGTGGTGGGTCTGGGTGGGCTGGCACTCTTCTGCCACTTGGTGAAGGTCTTCTGGAGGATGGTTGGGAAAGGCAGCAGGCAGATAGAGATTTTTGGGAGGACTGTGTTGTCAGGGATAAGTTTGATGGTTAGTAAGGGCAAAGAAGGTCTTCTATTGAAGTGGCAGAACAGTGAGCAGAAGTGGGCCATAAAAGGGGAGACCATGTGTCTCTAGGGTGTGTGCAGTGACCTCAATGCTTGGGAAGAAGGATACTAGCTACATGCACACAGAATAGAGATTGTTATAGATGGACTTATAACTGGTGTTTTAAGTTAATATCCTGTCCCTTCTCCTTTACTGTGTAAAGCATGAATTTTTGTCCAGTTTTGATACTTATTTTTTTCCCCATCCTTTCCCCCAACCCTTCTGTTTTTCCTGTTGCAGGAGTTGGTCATCATGGGGGCACCAGGATCTTATTATTGGACAGGAACTGTCAAAGTGCTGAATCTCACTGACAACACGTATTACAAGCTGAACGATGATGCTGTGATAGCCAGGCGGTACACATACCTTGGTAAGCAGCTCTCTGGTGGTCACTGTGAGAATGGATCAGTCCAACAACATATTTCAAGGCTTTGATGATATAAAGTTAATACTGATTTTTTTTTTTTTTTTTGGTGGTGTAGAGTATTTCTATGAAAAGCGTGAAAGGAAAAACATCTGAATTAAAGGGTTATCTACCTGAAAAGAAATATAAGCAAATAAGCAGCCAGAATATTCCACTTTTGTTTGTTTGTTTGTTTGAAAAAAATGTTGCTGTAATTTTTTTGGACTAATACAGAAAATGCATTTCGACTGAAAAGCAAGTTGGATGGTAGTGGGCCTCCTACATTCCTGCTTTTGCCTGTGATGGACAAATTATTTGTCGTTGGTTAGGCTCCACGTCTGCTTACACCTGTCTTTAAAATGGGTACAACACATAATTACAGACTGTATATTGCAGATACAAATTTATTTCAACAAAAATTTCACTATATAAATGAGTCATTGGCAGCAGAAGGAGGTTGTGAAAGGGTTGAGTACATCTTTAACTCAGTTGGGTTTACTTGCTCTAAAACCAGCTAATGTTCCAAAAATACTTAATTTAAAGGCTTCCACCTAGTCCCGAGTGCCTAAGACTGTTGAGACCTAGAAGGCATTTCAGTCAGTAGTTTGATATTGTTTGACTAAAGACTTGCACTGGCCTCGCTTTTTCCCTTTAACCTTTAGTCTTTGAAAAAATACCACTTGGAAGATGCTGCTTGGTGATAGCTAAATGAGGAGTGTATATATACATATTTAAGGACATAAATAGATTTTGCCACTGCTAGACCTGAATTATAGTATTTGCCATGTAGACAAGAGCCTCAATAATTTACAGCAGAAGTGCAAGGCAAATCCAAGGCTGTCTTGGAAGGAAAGCACTCTTCTTTAGTTATTGTATATCATTTTAATATATCAAATAAGACTGAATCTTTGATCTCCTTTCAAATACACTCCTTCTTGTTTTGATCTATCCTCCCATTTTTCTTCTTGCCTAAACAAAAATCTTTTTAAGCCATTAACTTCTCTGACCTCTTTGCCTACTGTCCTCTGCTCTCCCCGCCTCAACCAAAAAGGCACATAATTTTCCAAGACTTCCTGGGCAGTGATTTTGGCCAAAGGAGGACGCTTCTGTCTGGTCAATGTGGGACTGTTTCTCTTTGACATGATACTTTCTCTGCAGCGGTGTGGTCTGTTTACTCTGTTTCTGTGTGCCTGTTCCTGTTTCACCACTTCCCTTTCTGGACTCAGGTTACCAGACTGCTCCCCGTACCTGCTTCATGTGTGCTTCGTTCAGCTTCACATATACCTTTCTTCTCTCAGCTTTTGGAAGAGCACTGGAGGGCATACTGTCACTTCCCATCGCTGTGAGCTTTTGAGCAGAATATTCGTGCATCCTGAGCAGGATGGTTGTTAACACTAACAACGTGTAGCCCAGGAGGAGCAGTGAAACCCAATGAGCATGATCCAGCTGGCTGACCTGTTTCTTAGGCTCTTCCCTTTCATGATTATTTGTTTATTTATGTTCTCTCTCCTTTCCCACCCTAACCCATCTCCCGCTTAGGATATGCAGTGACAGCAGGTCATTTCTCTCAGCCGACTACCACGGACGTTGTAGGAGGAGCTCCCCAGGACGGAGGCATCGGAAAGGTGTGGCTTTTTGTCAAACAATAATGTGGTCAGATGCAACGGGGCAAAAAAAGTAATACTGATGCAGTTCCCATGTGTCTGAGAAGGCAAGAGATTTTTGTCTACAGGGTGGTTTTGGAGCACTGAGCAGGGGAGAGGTGAGATAGTTTGATGAAGTCATCAAATTTTCTTGACCTGTCCCTCTTGGTGCCTCACATCCCTCACCCCTCTCTTTCCTCTCTCTCCCACCCAATCCTTACAATAGTTATTTTAACGAGACCTAGGCAACATTTCTTTCGCACTGCTTTTGTTTAGGATTTGTAACATACAGGTATCCCTTAAACCTTGCCTGGAAATGACAAAACTTGGGAAAAAGAGTTTGTCTTATGCTTGTTTTCTTCATACATTTGTCTGTTTCAGTATTTAGTTCAGATTAGCATCTCCCATAACATGAAAAGCCATTTACTAGGCAATTCGATGTCCATCTTAAAACTTTGTAATGTTTAGTGGATTAGAGTCTGGGTTTCTGCCAGCTTTACTTAGAAGTGTTGGTGATAGTCTCTTGAGAAGGAAAAAAAAAAAGGGGGGGGGGGTCCTGTAGGCATACATATGTTCGATGTCCCAAAGATGTAAGCCAGTGAATGACTAGATGGAAATGGCTGGTGAGTTAGGTGTACCTGATGCTCCTGTGCCGAGTACCTGTCTGCTGTCGGGGGAGCCGGTTGAGGGTGAGTGCTGTGACCCTCATATACTTCTGAACCAAAGGTAGAGAAGTGGGAATGGGGAGAGGGAGAGAAGGGATGTAAAGAATCTGCTTTTGTCCCTCTTTCTTCAAAATCCAATCCTTTCAGAACCTGCTGCCACCATGTGCTTGAGCAGAGATGTCCTGCAGCCCCCTTTCCATCTTCCTCCCTCTGCCTCTCCTGCTTTATAGGGACATGAGTTATAGCTGAGTCATAACAGTAAGGAGTAAAAGGTCTCCACTACCAGGAACACTATCCCTTGGTTTAGGCAGATTTATTTTGGGTAGTAACCATGTCTCAGGGGTAGCAGCACAAGTGGGGAAAATGGAATAAAAGTAGAAGATGAACTTTGTACGTATACCTCACCTGGCTCGACTAGGACATATGGGATATAGCAGCAGCACAGTTGCTACTGAGAGGACATGTGCATAGGAAAGACATAGTTTCCTTATCCTAGGTGCTATGTTATGGCTGCTCCAATGCACCTTCCTTCCAACCTGTTTTCTCTGTGGAAAAGATTTAATTTCTGTGCAAGGAGGGGGAAAAAACCAGCTGCTAACATGAGATCCATGAGAAAGCAGCTGGCCCTGTAGTGTAAAGGCTACTGCTTTAGTTGCAAAAGCTCCTGTTATTCTCCCTTGGCATGGTATGTGGGTAGCAGGAACGCATGGCAAAGGAGCGGTAAGAGGTGTTGAGTACAGGATGTTACGCTGAGCAGTCCTGTTGTGCTTTCCACACTCTCTAATAAGCTAATCCTTTCTACTTCCCTCATAGAAAGTGATTAGCATTGTCACACCCTTGTCACTGAAGGTGAAGCCAAGATACCTAATGAGACTGCGTCATTTTTCCAAAGTCACCAAGGGTGTCATTAGTTAAGACTGGGTTTGAAGTTGTGACGCCCGGCAAGCTGCTTTTGCTGCTAAACGTGCCGCTGCAAAACCTAGGGAGTCCTTTATATCTAGAGCAATTGTCTGCAGTAAATCTGTGCTGTGTTCTGAGCTGAAAACAGCTTTGAACTCTGTCTCACCAAGTATTAATAACTTGACACATATTCAGCTATGTCAAGTGCTTGGCTCCGCCACGTGGCCTTGGAAGTAAGGGATCCTCTGTCCTGCAAGCTGCATGAGCACCTGCTAGGAGGGAGCCTGTCAAATGCTGGAGGAGTCTCAAAGGCTGACTGAGTCAGCCTTTCTGCCAAAGGGAGTCCCTTTCTACAAGCCATGCATTTTAGGTCTTAAATTTTGGTACAAGGTCCGTTATTGAACTCATATCAAAACTTTTATCCCTGAGAGTTCCTGGTTAAACAGGTTCTCCTGTGGAAACAGGCAATGAGTGGACTACATTTGAATAGTTTTCTGATTTACAGGTTGTTTCAGACAGAAACAGTGCAAATGCGTTGGGTGGTCTGATTGGGATTTCTACTCTGATCTTTGCTAAAGCATCATGAGGTTTGCAGCGTAGTATGTGCAGGCACATGTCCTTGAGAAGGGAAGGCTGGATAAGGGAAGGGGAGCAGGGTTATGCCTTTTCAGCCTTTTGCCCTGCTCATTTCCAGGCAGTCTCCAGATGCCACTTGTTTGAGAGTTGGAAAGTTCCTTTATTAGGTGCTTTTAAATACTCACATGTGCACATACACACATGCACACCAAAAAAAGTAGGTGACAAGATACTATTCAAGCATTTCTCATAAGAGCCCTGTGACTCATCAGAAAAATGAGGAACTCTATCTTTTGTCTTTTAAAAGAAGACTGAGCAATAAGGTGGTCATGAAATTGGATCTTGGCAATAGTCATGGCCATGATCATGATTTAGATATTATTTAGGAAGCATCAATGCTGTACCATTATGTGCTTCATAGTTAGTATTGGTTAACTTTTTTTCTTTTTTCACTTTTCAGGTTTATATTTTCAGAACAGACAGACGATCAGGCTCTCTAGTAAAGATTTTCCAGGCTTCAGGAAAAAAGGTGAGCTTTTATGTATGTGTGTTTCCTTTTAAGGGATGGAGAAGTGGGAAATAATGGCAGGGTCACCTCAGAGCATCATTTTCATTCCACTGCTTCATGAGTTGTCAGGCAAATTCTGTTTATTTTTACCTCCCAGAAGACGTAAACCTATTGTACAGACCAGCTGTATACCCTTTCTCCTGTAGCAGTCATGACTGCAAAGTCTGCTCAGTGCCCATGTGACTGAAATTAAAGGTCCTGCTGAAAAATGTACTAGTGGGTCTCTTTAGCGTTATGCAACTGTAGCAGCGCCTTCTGAGATGTGGGAAGTGGGGTGCCAGGTGAGCCTCGATGCACATTTCCTCTTAGTAGATGTTACTGGGAGATGTGGGTAGCCTGGAGCTTAGTTTAATACACAAAGCCCCAGTCTGTTTTTCTGTGTCCTGATGTGACAGGGGGGATATTAGAGTTACGCTGTCATGTGGAGGAGCAGCTTCGTTACTTCGAGATGATGATTTCACCCTTCCCACATGAATTAGTCCTGCGTTTTGCTCTTAGGACTGGTGTCTTAGAGCCGAACCACACCACACCACCACTGCCCCCCCATGAAATTTAGTGAACGCTAGCGAGATCCAGCTCCCCTCATGCGCTGTTGTGTTTGAGTGGGGAACAGCTTGTGTTCTTTACTGGGGGCTTGCTGGAGATATGTTGCAGGGGTAATGAAGTGGACAATATGTCTAACTATAGGTAACAACAAAAAGATGTCTTATTTCAAATACTGCAGTGAGGAAACAATAGCCCTTACCTGGGGTTGCCTGTGCTCTCCTGGAAGGAGAGGAAATACAGAAGAAAAAGGTTACTGGTGGCTTCTGGCTCTAGGAAGACATGCCACCCTCAGAAGGTTCTGAAGTGTCTGATTGTATCATCAAGTTGGGAGTGTTAGCATGTTTTGCTATTTTTTCCCAACAAAACACAGTTGCAGTCTTTAAAAACATGCCTGGTATAGGGCAAAACTGCAAGTATGTGTAGATGGATGGTGTGACTTGTATTTTAGGGCCTCTCCAAAATTTGTCTTTCTCTGCGCTAGCAGAATTGCAGACATCTTGAAAGGAAAAGACCTCCCGGTTCATCCAGGGCACCTCCTGTGTTTGATTGCTTCCTGTTAATTTCTTTCCCTGTTGACTTTTAAATGTCCCTAAGGATGTGTTCCTGGAGAACTATTCCTCAGCCTGATAAACAGAGCTATCAGGAAGTTTCCAGATCTCAGCCAAAACTTTCCTTTTTCAATTTAATTGTGTTATTCTTGTATATAACTTAACTAATCAAGTATTTACATCCTTCAAGTACTTCTAGGCTGTCATCTCCTCTTTCCCCATTAGCATCTGTCTTCTACAAATTCTCTAAAATCCAAATGATAATTTTATTATAAAGAGAAGGCTGTTCTAAATCACCCTTTCTTAGTTTTGTCACTGAAATATAACCAGACATGCTCAGCAATGAGCATTGCCTCGAAATGAGCTCTCACAGAATGCTGCGTCCTTCCCAGTGGTGTGAAAGTTCATTGCTCTGACATTCTTACTAGACAGACATTAAAAGCAGGCCAGTTTCTTCCTTCCCTTTTTTATTGCTGGAGGCTGAACTAGGAAATCAGATGCAGACAAGAAAAAAAGAAAATGCAGTGCCTTGTTAAAAACGTTAAGTGCACAAACTTCAGGTTCTCACAGCATCATGAACTCACCCACGCTGCAGACATACCATGTTGCAGTTAAGTAAATAATAGCCTTTCCCTGAAAACTGCCTGAATACATAGTGAAATGCTTTTCATAACTTTCGCTCCTTACCCAAGAGAAATTTGTTTTAAAACCTTAGTGGATTAAAAAAGAATAAACAAATAAAAAATCCACAAGGGAACTTAAGCTACAAAATAACTGGAATCAAATGATGTTTGAGGTCTGACCTTAAACCCACACAAACACAAAAATCTGAATTACAACTGAAACTCTATCCTTAACTCACCCCGCTATATTTAGCAGCTTTTAAATCTTATGGACTGCATAGAATAGAGTTGCTACTGCCCATCTCTTAGCATGCCCAGGAGCTCTGGCTCGTGCACCTAAACTTACTAGGCATGGAAGGCTGTGGGTCAGAGATCCCCAATGAGGAATGTAAAAGCATGCGAGAAATGTGATTCATTCTTTTTAACCTAAATAATTATTTCTGTAACCGCAATTTTTCCTACTATGTAAACAGCTCTCATTTTCAAATAAGAAGTGGTATCTTTTAATTCTTCCTTTAGAAGTTGCTTTTAATTTTGAAACTATGGTTTGTAGTTGGTCTCAAAGAGTATGCCTTGTGCTACCTAAGCAGAAGTGGATGAAGTAAGGGTGGAATATCATTCTTGGTTTTGGTTTCCTTTTTGTGTTTAAATGTGTTTTGAAATTCGTAATGTGGGTGCCAGCTGGGAGATTGTTAGCATTTAATGTTAACCTGTATCAAAAATTATGTAATGAGATTAATGTATTTCTTAAATTTAAGCAGTTAAGTTTTATCAAGCAATAATAACTGGAGACTGAAAGTGGCTTAGGTTTTTTGTGTATCAACTGAAAAGCTTTTATTGAAAGTCATCTTTCTGTGTCAATTCGCCTGCCTGTACCTGAGAGGAAAGGCTGTGATCAAAACCCACAACCAGTACTGCTATTTTGAAGGTGACTGATACAAATAGATACAAACAGAGCAGGGGAAGATAGGCCACAATCAAGAGGTAATTTTAGATGCCTCTTTTTCATGGATACCCTACCCCTTGCCTATTTTTCTTTTTTCTTTTCTTTATTTCTTTAAGGTATCCCCAGAAGATCTGTGGTACCCAACTTGAAGTCTTTTTAGGAAGTCTGGTACTGGGCATGACTAATCACTAGCCAGGTCTTGGTTTGGGAAACTTATTTCACCCCTCTCTGATTTTAAGCATTTGATAAGTGAAAGCTAGTCTAAGAAAGCTCTTTAGTGTCTCACTTAAGCATGTCCCAGGGTATAAATTTTATTCTGTTGGTAAATTATCCAAGCTGATACACTGTACAGTAAAGTGTTTAATTCCTGCCAGAATTATCCCCTAAGCTTTCTCTGTAGGAGTGCTTGTGAGTGATAAAGCAGCAAGTCATCATTTGAAATAATAAAAAAAAAAAAAAAAAGCAAATGCCTAAATGACTTCCTCCTGTGTGTGGGCAGATACTGAATGCTTTGTTGTGACTCGGCTTGGTTACAGATGGGCTCTTACTTTGGCTCCTCCTTATGTGCAGTTGATCTGAACTCTGACGGGTTGTCAGACCTGCTGGTCGGAGCACCTATGTTTTCTGAGATCAGAGATGAGGGTCAAGTCACAGTCTATATCAACAGAGGAAACGTGAGTATGTACAGGAGATGACTTGGTAAGGGATGAGGCCGTGGGTCCGGGCAGGGTAGCGCTAATGTCCTTCCAGCACTGCATGGTGAAACTCGATGTCTCAAATAGAGGGGCTCTGGATGTCTCTAGCAGAGCATGAAGTCACGGAAAACTCATCTGGTATCATGGTTTCCCAGACACCAGCCCACATTCATCACAGAGCTGTGAATCTTTCGAGGAGGTCTGGGAAAGTTTCTGGTTTTATGTTGAAACTTGGTGGTATTTGTGGCTTTACATGAATTTGATGCCAAAACCAAGTAAGAGTCAGCAGCTTTGGCTGAGTGTTTTGGGTAGTCACTAGGACCTACAAATTAGAACACAAATGTCTGGGGATTTAGAAGACCTTGTGAAGAGAAACCAGAGATTGAAATCATGTTATATTTGCATTATGCCCCATATATAGACTTTAGGGGAAGTTCTTATCAGCCGATGCTTTTGGATTTCACGTGATCCAACAACAGTCTTGGAAGAGTCTGAACTTTCTTGCATTGGCAAAACAAGATCATTCTTATGTTGTATTTATAGGAAAACAATGGTTGTTTACATATTATTAAATATTTGATATTCAGGTCCCAAACCTGCTGTCTCAAAGGAGGAGTTGTTATGGACTAAAATGAAATTGGTTTTCTTCATCAGTATTTTGTGGACTTTAATGTATGGATTTTGTTTATGCTAAACTTAACATTCACCACAAGTCCTATAGGCAGCATTTGGGAGACTTCAGAATTGCTTTTGGTGTAAGTTTATTTTCTATTGTCACTCCTCCTTTAAATGAGCTTTACTTTGTCAGTCTGATCCACAGGCTGTCCCACTTATATTCCAGTGTTGCTGCTGGGTCCTCAGGATAGGTCCAGAATGCCAAGCAGATAATAGCCAACATTTCCTGCTCACAGTGAGAGTATGCATGAGTTAAGTTTTATTTTTTATAAAACAGTCAAGAACCTAGTAGGGTTTTCTTATACTCCTGCTTCAAGAATTACTTGCAGGAGCAATAGCTTGCAGGATTGTGGGTTTTATTTTGGTGTTTGGACTTTTTAAACTCTGTTTCATTCTGCAAGCACCATTGCTGAAGAGGTCATTGCAGTGGATCAGAGAAAACTGCATTATAATACAAGCATGTGTAGTGATGCTGGATTTAATACACGTATATTTTGCCCTTTCCTGTGAGGACTGCAAAGAAGTGAGTTGCACATACAGGCCTGCCTGTCTTCTCTCTGTTGTGTTTCAATTTCATTATGTGGGATTTTCTTAAAGTCAGCAACTCCCCGCAGCCAAGAAAAAGATTTTATTATATGTTCCAGAGGGCAGTTTACTCTCATTCACAAAGCAAGCAAAAACAAAACAAAACAACCCTTGAGGTGGGTACGGAGTTGGATTGTGTAACTAAATTTTGTTTTCTTGTGGAAATGTTTCTTTCCCCTTGAGGGAAGGCTGCAAGAAACTAAAGCTTATGTATCTGACCAGAAAGTGGGTGGGCAAGAAATACCAGATCCATATAAGGCTTCTCATGGCATAGGAGTACAAAGCTACTTTATTCTGAACTTTCCTCTGTCTCTTTATTGCATTAAGTCCCTTTCCTTATTCTTCATTTCAGAAGGCTTTTTGGGGACTTTGCTTTAATCCTTCTGTCCAATACTTAAAAAGTTTTCAAATCCAATTGCCCAAATGTTCTTTGCTTAGGGGAAAATTCCTCTTAACTCACTGGGGTTTAGCTGAATAAGCCTTGACTGAGGATTTCACTCCTCGGATGTAATCTGCCAGTAGAGCAAGCTCCGGGCTGTTACATTTTAGGCATCGGAAACCTTCGTGAGCTCCCCAAGCCCTGTGACTGCATTTAGTTATATCACTGAGTTATCCTTTAGTTAATTTAGCATTTTAGTTATATCACTCATATACTACCCCCCCCGCCCCCTAAAACTAAAAGACAGAAGATGGTTAAAAAACCAAATAAATTAGATTTTTGGTGCCCAGGCGATCTGTGTGCAGTGAGGGTGAGAGTCAGACTGCAGCCCTGCCCCTGGTGCTACCAGCAGCTCCCACGGGGAGAGCTCACCTCATCCAGGGCTCGCACCATTTCACTGACCCTGTTTTATTTCCTACTTGCTAGGGAGTGCTGGAAGAGCAGCTTGTCCTGGATGGTGACAGCACATACAACGCACACTTTGGGGAGAGCATGGCCGCCCTCGGCGACATCGATGATGATGGCTTCTCAGGTCGGTGCCATTTCCTCCTGGGCCTTTTCCCTGGAAATACCAGCGGGGCTGGCAGCACTGCCAGTCTCCTTGCATGTCTGGGTGCCACGTGGCATCTATTGCTCCTGAGGACCCGACCAGCACCTGGGCTTGTGCTAAGGATAAATACGCTTGTGTGGGATTTGTCTGCTAGAGCCTTTTGTAGCTGATTGTCCTTGATGTGCATTTAGTCCGTGGCCAAGCAACTTGCATGCCAGTCTCATTAACATTGCTTTACTTTCCTTGCTCTTGCATTTTATTCTTCGTGTATGGTTTATAAAAGGCTTTAGATACCCACGCCCCAAACAAAACAGAAACCTATGTCTGACTTCTTTCTTCTTTCCCATTTCCTTATGTCTTCAAGCCTTTCCAGTTTTGTTGACATAATCACGTTTTCTTATCATGAAGTGTAATTAAGAAGTAGCTTCTCACTCCTGATAGCATGTACTCTATTAATAATTTCTCTCCTTTGCTTTATTCTACCCCTGCTCCTTTTGCAGGCTGCTCAGTGTGAGGCCCCATGCTGTGATAGCGATAGGTGAGAGCGAAGTGTTGAGGCTGGCATCTTTTCTGCCCTGATTTCTGGCAGCGCAGATTAAGGACTTCCAAACAAAGGCTGACTTACTCAGTGTGTGCCTGGATTTAGGCCACTCAGGGCATGTTATTCCATTAAGCTTAAACCAACCTCATTGCAGGTTGCCCTCACAAATGGTGGCCATGCTCTTCCTCTGCACTTGGACGTACATTTTTGTGTTCTTGCTGCTGCTTGTGGGTCAGTTGTGGTGATGGAGAGACTGCAGGGTTGTATCAGTCCATGGTTATGAAGCCATTGGGAAGAGTTTAATTTTAGCAGCTGTATAGTCACTAGAGCTAACTAGGAGAGGAGAATGGGAAGTGGGATAACTCTTTCTGCAGGAGTTTGCATTTAAATTGGATCAAATGTAATTTGAAAGTGCACCCTCAGCAGCCTTTTCTTCTTCTTGCCTGTCTATTTTATATACCCAGCCTCACTTTGGAGCCTTGGATTTTCAAGCAAACTTAATGTAGTGCTATAATAAATGTTTTGCCAATGCTGTCTTCGTTCACAAAACTGATGTTCCCCTGGGTTGGAGATTTTTATATGAAAGGATTCTAAATTAAATTTTTTCAGCATGGTTGCTGGTTAATAAACACATTTTCATAACAAGCACATGCTTCTAATTAGGCACAACATAGCCACATGCATGTACAAATTCATATACATTTGTGTGTTTTTTTAAGTTTATCTTAACAGGAGCTCTTCGTTAAATCAAACAAGTTCCTTCTAGCCAGGTTCATATGAGCCGCTGATCATCTTCATCATGGGGAGCTATTTTCCTATGGATAGCTGGCTTCTAAAATTGGGAAAAAGTTGGATTAATAGAATGGGTTGTGAAATGTTTATAATCTGTACTGTTTTACAGATGTTGCCATTGGAGCGCCTAAGGAGGATAACTACATAGGAGCAGTGTACATTTACCATGGGGATGCCAATGGTATTGTACCTCAGTACTCTATGGTATGTGACACTACTGTTTACGATACCTATCTGAAGTCACTTTCACAGGGCCTGCAGAAATAAGCCATATGTAGGGGTCCCTTTATAGGTGGCCTCATCATAGCCCTACATTGTTTTCTCAGTCCTGGTTTGAACATGGCTTCTCCCAAAGTTTGTCCATATCTATGTTCTTGGGTAAAATGATGTTAGGAGATATTTTTCACTGTCTTTTGTTACAGTTATCAGCTGTAGCTTCCTTCTTGAAGCAAATGAAGTCTTGGGGTTTGAATGTTAGTTTTTAGAGATAGTACTGCTGCAGAGGAGAAATGAAAACCCTGGAGGGGCTGAGCATACAAATTATGGAGAAGCCAGTGGGGAGCTGGGAGGTTGCACTCTCCTCCTGCAGAAACAGGCTTAGCGAGGAAGAAGAGGTACTAAGTTTTCTTTTGTACCCCGCAGAAGCCTATTTACCCATTTTGTTGGCACTGTCCTTGTGATGTGGCAATTTATCACACGGCTTTTCTTGGGTGCCATTCCCCTGACCATTATTATGAAATAAAATCTCAGCTAGGATATGCTATAGCATCTTGTGCAGAGATGACACAGTGCAATTTAGCTACTGTAGCCAGGCAGTAGAGAAGACAAATTTATGCTCATGCTGCCCAACATGTGTCCCCTAGTCTCTGTCTAGCACATTTCTTTTTTCAGAGAGCCTGAATCTTCCCTCCCTCCATGTGTTTGAAGTTCTGGTTGTTTTGTTGCTGGGTGGGATCCTTCACAGTAAATCAGTTTAAGCAGAATTAAAGAGTTTGGTGGTTATATTGGAGACTCTTCTAACAGACCATAGAAGTTTAGTCCTTTTTCCTTTTACCATGTATATGCCATGCGCTGCTTTTTAGAAAAAAGGAAGTTAAATTACTCTTTATGTACACTTGTAAAATGCACTAATGTGTGGCATGTGGAGGATTCTGCCTGTTTCTTGCTGAGAGCCACTGGTTGGGAGGTTCTTCTCTGGCTGTTGAAAAGCATGGAGCTTTCCAGCTCTTGCTGAAAAGGATCAGATTTTTTTTTTTTTTTTTTTTGATCATTCATGGGAAAATTTTACATTTTTGAAAGAGGACAGATCAGCAGGGTGGGAAGCAAAACATCCTGCTTGTGATCTCTCCCTCCTCATTAGAGCAAGGCCAGCAGACATGGCGTGTGCCTCTCTGCTTGGTCAGTGGGACAAAGCCCAGCTCAAGAGGGAGGCAGGGTACTGTGGTCATTGACTATTGATACTATTCCTATCGTTGTCCCATGTCCTGAGGCAGCCAAAGGGGCATCACATACGGGCAGTGTCTCTCTGACCCTTCCGAGGGTCTGCTGCAGAGCACCAGACATACCACCAGTTCATCTCCCACTTGCAACCAAAAAAACTGCGTAACAACTTCAGCTCTTTACTTACCTACCCTGGATTTGAACCCAGAGGTGAAAGACTTTTTGTATCTTCTTGCTATATCCCTGAGCCATGTCATGGAGCCCAGAGCTGTGCCCTGGATTTCCATTTTTAAAGAAGCTGAGAGAGGTGGAGGGGGAGCCTGCAGGGTATATGTTTTCACCTGTTTCATTTTGTTAGCTTCCTCCTCACCCCTTTTCTTTATTTAAATCGCTGATCAATGTCGTTCCCTCACATCCCTTCCGCAGCTTTAGCGGTGGCTATGAGCAAAAGCAGCTTAATTGGCTTTGTGGCCTGCTGTTTTCATTCATGGCACTTAAAAGCAGAGTAGCATTATACCTCTGCCTTCTAGGCTGTAATAGCCTGCAGATGTCCGCTGGGAAGTTTGCAGGCAGGATTTACCACCCTAGCTGGGACCCCCCCAAAAATGTGATACAAGTGTAATGTGGGAAGGAAGTTACTTCCAGTTGTCTTAATCTTATCTGCCCATGAGTAGGAAAAGGAGATCTGTACACAGTGAAGCACTGGTTTCCCTTTAAACTGGCTGTCAGGACTGCAGGATATCTTTCTTCCCCTCAACTTGTGGGTTTTTTTCCATGAAATTTCCTGTCTGACCTTTTGTTCAATATTATGTCCTTTTATGGGAGGGCCAGGAAAAGCTGGTCGCATGTCACATGCTGTGAAGCACCACCAACAGCCTCGAAATTACTTTGTGGGGTAGGTTTCCTCTCTGTAACTTCTGCATTCAGATGTTGGTTTGAGTTCAGGTCTTCCGTTGGTGGCCCAGCAAAATGAATGAGGGCTGGGAGACATCTGATTGCTTTCTTAGAAAATGAGATTTTGATATATTAATTTGCTTCAGACAAAGGCATTTACAATTCAAAATGTTTAGAGAAAGTTTTTGTGTTAGTAATTAAAAAAAAAAAAAAGAAGCTATGTTAGAAGTTAATTAATCTTTGTGTTGGGGAGGCAGAAATGAGATATAGCTTCCAAACGGACACAAAATACTGCATAATAGCTGATGGAAACCAGAATTTCCAAGTGGGATGAAAATTAATCATTTTGACTTTAAGTATGCTGGCAAACTTTGTGAAAAGGAATGGTTGTGCAGGATTTTCTGTTTCAATTAATCAATTTTGTTAAGAGGGTGCTTAAAACTTTTATTTACAGAAATAAAGGTAATGCGAAAAAAAAAAGAAAGGAAAAAAAAAAGATAAAATCTCTAGGGGGCAGTTAAATTCCGCTCCCTCTGTCCCCCCCAAAAAAGCTGTTTGATGTGTTCTTTGTTTTGCTTGGGTCTGCATGAGGATTGTAATGCAGGTGTGTTTTTTAATCCAAGTCAAAAGTGGCTGCCTCCTACCCCAGAGCAGAAGGGCTTCCTGCAGTCGACAGCCTTCCTGCTCAGGGCTGCGTGGGTGAAGTGCGAGCCTGCAGATGTGCAGCACTTCCAGCCCATAGAAGAGAGCCCTGGTGACCATGAAAATAAGGCTCGAAGGTTTTTTGGGGGTTTGTGGTTGTTGTGTTTTTCTTGGGGTTTTTGTTTGTTTTGGTTTTTTAGAGGATTCTTTGTGTTGCTGACGGATTTCACTCATGTGTTTTCCACTGCAGAAGCTGTCTGGGCAAACAATAAACCCGATGCTGCGGATGTTCGGCCAGTCCATATCAGGGGGAGTCGATATGGATGGCAATGGTTATCCAGGTACGTCCGCTACTGTGGCAGTGAGAGCACTGGGGAAACACAGCAGCAGGCTGAGAAAACAGCAGAGCTGAGTGTTTCCAGGTTGCTGGTTCCTGCCATTGCGGGAGGCTGATGAAGCTGAGCATTTTCTTCCCTTTCCCTTCTGTTATTCAAAGCTCCTGATAAGAATTTGAGCCGATTGCTGAATTCAGGTGTTTGGGCAGTCATGATGAAGAATTGAGATATTAAAGCAGAGGATTTCAGTATCTGTCCAAGGTTGTAAGTTTCTTGGAAGCTGCTCAGTCATGATGACAATCTTGAAAAAAAAAAAACCAAAAAAACACCAAACAAACTAGACAATAATATAATAGTAATAATAAAAATCAAACAATGAAGTAGAAGTGAAGTAACATCACAGACCTAATCCTGCAGATATAATATTTATGATGTAATGATATTTGAAGGGACCAACTGGCTGATTTAAGTCAGAAAAATGCTTTTTTTAGATATATGCTCTGTAATTTAGGAACTGATTTGAAAGAACTGAATTCTATGCCTCCTTTGTAACTGTCTCAATGTTACAAAAATTTCAGATATGACTGTTGGAGCCTTCTTGTCAGACAATGTGGTACTTCTGAGGTGAGATGAATGTCTTTTTCATACGCTGTTGTCTTCTTTTTGTCTGTTTTCTGTTTGTATCTTATGTCATCTAAGTCCTCCCCCACTCCAAATTTCTCCCTAGTTTATTGTGGTCAGAAGCAGCAAGCTGGATTACTTTTTAAGCAGAACCTTAGACATGGATGGTGTCAAAGAGTGCACAATCTGATTTAAACAGCTTAGTGAGGGATGACAATACATAGGACTCCCAAGGCTCTGAAGAAAACAAAGGGTTAGAGCCAGAAGATGTGTTGCATCTCAGTGCCTCTTTAGAAAGGTTGCTTTGAATTTGTGAGAAGTCTTTTTTATTGTTTTTACATTTACATAAAGTAAATAAATTATGATTTAAGGGAACGCAGTTGAGCAAAGAGCCAGCTGTGTATGATGCCAGAATGTAATTTTGCAATTTATAATGGGACACAGAATGAAATAGGAGTCTTCAGGGAAATGAAATATGGAGACATTTTAAATGCACACAGGATTTGGGCTGCTGTTTGGATTGTATGAGCTAAGTGCAATTGCTTGTTTCATCTGGTGGAGAGAGGTGTGACAGCTTGGTTCACCAAATTATGCAGGTGGAAGAGTTAGAGTAGGAGCGGGTTTGAGATGCACAGACTTGGGGAAGAGAATAGGAAGTCTGAATTTTGCCAGTAGCTCCGTTGTTACACTTGTTAATATTTAATAGAAAAATCCTGTCAATACCTAGATGTCATTAGAAGTAGAAGTCACTAGGGACTCCTGCATCTTAATGGAAGATACAGGGATGTGGTGAGACTGGCAAGATAAATGCTGGAGCTGCAGAACAGACGTGCCAGCCTCCTGCTTTCTGTTCAAGACAAAAAACTTGGCTTTTATTTCCATTTGAATCAATTAAACAAAGCAAAAAGAAAAAGGAGAGGGGGGGAAGAAATGCTTTTGATGATCAGCGTGGCAGGTGGTCAAGTCTTCTGAAGACTTTTCTGTTCCTTCATCATGCATGCAGAGGAAACCAATTGCTGCTTCTGTGAAAAGGTGTGCCATGCCCCAGATGGGATCTTGCAGCCCCACATCTCCAAAACCGCTAGAAAGAAAACTGTGCATTTTGCTCCTGCATTGTTGTTACTTGCGGGGGGGAAGGCAATCTGAAAGGCTTCCTGTGATGTTTAAAACAACAAATATCACAACAGCGTGGTAAGCTCTGTCCACGTGTTCAGTCATGCTTGTGTGTTTCAGAGGAAATTAGCACATTACCGACTGACTTTATGGGCAGCCTGATTAATTGCTGCTACTGCCATTTTACAGCATATCCCTCTTGCTGTTTAGATCCAGATTAGGATAAAGAAATCAGCTTTTTCTTTTTTTTTTCCCCTTACCCCTCCAGAAGCCTTTGTGAAGTCCTGTGGCCAAAACCAACAAATGTTTTGCCAAGTGATATTAAAGGCTTTGGTGGAAGCCGCGGTGACTTGGGGCAGATTGTCATTGTTGTATTGCTCGCGTGTGTGTATGGCCATTTGACAGCACATTGTTTTTTTTTTCCCAGTGAATAACCAAGCGAGCTAATGTTAAGGAAGAATCACACAGCACTTCATGGCTGGAGAAAATACTTTTTTTTTCTAGGAGAAATATTTTTGTAGATCAGTTATAGCATTCATTCTTTTATGTCTCCCCGAGCATTTGCAAAGAGGTTTTTTTTTCGAAGGTGTGAGGTGATCCTAGGAAGCTCACTCTTTTTCTTCCTTCCCCCCCCCATTACTGTATATATTTCTAGGTTTAGCATTTATCTTCATCCTCCATCTCAAAATGCAAACTTGCACTGTTATTTCAGGCTGTGGTAAAAGAGTCTGAGCAGCTGTCTCGGAGATTGATGTGAATCTTGTTCCAGTCGATATGAATTAGGTGTAACCACAATCCCCGCTCTCTTCTCCCCCCTCTCCCCTGCCTCTAAATTAAGTGGCTTGTAGAGTGAGAGTCCTGAAGTGGTTTACTTACGTGGTCTGGCCTTGCACAGCTGCTGGGACTACCTTAGAAGTGAATCTGCTGGTTGTTGCACATATTTTTACTACTGGAGTTGCTTTTGAAAGAACATGTTCATGTTGAACATGTACAGAATTGAAACCACAAAGAATAACACTCGGTGAATTTCTGGGCTAAAGTCCTGCGCTGAGGATGGCTCAGGAGAGCCTGGGTTTCTGGGCTGCTTTTCCCAACCAAGCTGGTGGGGCTTCTGTGTTGTGTGGGAGAGGAGACTCACCTGGGCCCTGATGGCACTCGGCTTGCTCTGCAATTCTGGCTGAGGTCTTCTTCAGCCAGGAATAGTCATAGCAATAATCCGGTGCTGGAGTTGCAAGGGTAGAATGCTTTCTTTCATAGTGGAGCGAGTAACTCCTGAAACAGAGTTCAGCAGTGTGAAGAGTATTCAATCCTTACCACTCATTGGGACGGAATTAGCCAAACATTCCCTCCTCCAGAAAACATGAATGTGGTGTCTATTGTCCCTCTTATACTTTCAGAAAAATTATGTATGAATCCATCTCATACCCCTGTGTTCCCTCCTTGACTTTCAGGTCACAAATTTGACTGTAGACCATTCTCTGGAAACCTAAGGTCTCTGCCTACCTGTTCCTCACCATCCAGGCTGCTTAGCAAGCAGTCTCACTTGCATGAGCTTGTTGTCCTTGGTTGCCATTGTGCTAATTTTGCTATCCTGTTACCAGGAAGGCTTTATGCAACTTTTACTGGAGATGGTTATTATATATTACCAGTTTCCCCAGCTGCCTGCCTGCAGTCTGTATCTGAGCACTGAACTTCAAGCTGATGTTATGGTCTTTGGACACTAGTAGTCCTTGCCAGCTAGGTCAAGTGCTAATTTATCTTACAGTTCAAATGCACTCTCTTATTTTTCATGTCTGCTTGAAATTGTGTAGTTTACCAAATTTACTTTATTTTCCTTTGGCTGAGAACTTCCCTCTGAATGATCACTCAGTTCCGTTTCTCTGTTATCTCCAGATCCAGGCCTGTCATTACCATGGACATCTCCATTTTCCTGCCTGCATCCATCAATATCACAGCTCCTCAGTGCCATGATGGCTTGCAGCCAGTGAACTGCCTCAATGTCACAGCATGCTTTCGCTTCAGTGGCAAGCGTGTTCCTGGAGAAATAGGTAAGGTATCTGTGTCAGCCCTGGGCAGGGGCATGCTAGCAGGTTGACCTGGAGTCAAGGGCTCCCTTTGAAGTCAGTAACAGAGCTTTTATATGAAATAAGTTGTTTCCAGGTGAGCTGGGCTATACAATTCCAGAAAGTTGGAGGCTCCCTGGGAACTTTCTTGGGCATGTTTTTGCCTTCTGATGAGGCTGATGTAATACTGGGGCAGTTTCTTCCTCAGTGAAAGGAGGGAAATGTGTCCTTGGGCTTACTGCAAGGACAGAGAACACAGAAGCAATTGATGTTTTCTAAGTTCATATTCCCTGTTTACCTCTTGATAACACGTTTCTGTATCCATATCCTTTAATCAGTGTTATCAGAAAGCAGGTGGTGTTTGCTCTGGATTAATAGTTTTTGAAAGTCTACAAGGAGCTCTTGAAACAGAGCACTATAAATCTGAATTCCTACCAGACATGAGCAAATCCTTTTCTATGCATCAGTTTGCCTGTCTAAAAAATGATTATAAATAGGCCAGTATTTTACTGATGGCAAGAATATCTTCCAGGTTAGTTAGTCTCTGTAAAACACATGGAGTTTCTCTGATGAATGGAATTGTGTAAGGTGTGTAATTGTGCAAGCCTTTACATCTTGGCTGCATTAAAATATTACTTGTCTTTTACATCCTAATGTTTACAAATCTTAGATATTCTGTGAAGTGGTATGGGATAGATACAGCATTTCTAAATATTGTGAGGTCTGGGTTTGTTTAGTTCAGCCATGATGTTTTACCTTTGCCATGCTTTAGCAATGGCAGAGGACTTGCAGTGTGCTGCTCAGGGAAGATACCTCAGCCTCACAGCGTGCTCCGTCTCTGCAGTGGGTCTGGCGAGCTGCTGGGAGAAGCAGTGCCTCCTCCTGCTCTGTGCCCTAGCCTTTCTGAGCAGCTAATTGAGAAGGGTGAGAATTGCAGCTGTGCATCCCAGTATGCAGAGCCTGCTGCAGTATTTGGATTTTAAATGAGTCGGTGAAGAAAAAGGTTCCTTGCCACTTCTCCTGCCATTCACATGCAGTGAGAACTACAAGATGCTTGTTGAAGTTGCTCTCTGCAGCTTATCACTTTGTCACCTGAACAGCTCAAAAAAGTAGAGTTGCTAAATTTGAGATTCCTCTGGTTTCTGACATATTGGTGCAACTGAGACTTCTATTTTTGCACTTTTTCCTTCCATGTAAATGATGACTCTCAGCAGACAAATACATGCTTTGATAAAGTATTTTTTGTACTGCCTGCTACTCTCTCAGTTAAGGAAACACTTATCTCCGAGTGCTCCAGGGGTGTTAATTCCTTTCTGAAAATCACTGAATAGATTTTCCGAATATCTAGGTTTTCTTATGTTCCTGGGGGTACTGTTTAAAATGTTTCCTTTGCTTTAATTTCATATCTCTGGACCTGTGGCTGGGAAGTGAGCTGCCTTTTTTCCAAATCTAAATATGTGTTCCCCTTGTTTGCAAAAGACCTATCTTCCTGCTTCATCATGTCTTGTAAGAGCCAGTTGAGTTCCTCTGTGTTGTCATACAAACTGTACTCCCAATGATTTATTGTGGTGAAAGCACATGTGCATCTTCTTTGGCAAGTAAAATCCATCTCATTACAAGGAATTTTTTTACTATTAAGTAAATGATGATAAAACTTCCAACGATTGTCCTTTTATACAATGCTTCTAGCAAAGTGATTTGTCTTGAAAACATTGCAGCCAGAACTATCTGACTGTAAAACCCCTTCGGGATATGATTTGGATAAAATACTCAAATAAGCTTTCAGTGTGTCATCTTAACAGTCGGGCCGTCTTAATTATGTTGCAGTTGAAGAGTATCAATTAATAAAGGGTGGAACAATTCATGGCAGTATTGCAACGGTTCCTCTCCTGCGTGGTTAAATGGGGGGGGAAGGGGGACACAGGACTGGGGGTGGATAGAATAACCCTCTAAGTACATCGTTGTCCACTTCAGACTCTGAAAGGCATATGGGGATGTTGAAATGCTATGTCAAAGTTTTGTGGCTAAAAGGGTTGGATTGTCTCATCTTCGGATGTCTGGGGGCGGTCTGTTAAGTCAGATGACGAGAACATAGTGCTGACTGGGAATGCCGCTCCCCTAAGGCTTGTGAGTGCAGATGTTCAAGACTGCTGCTTACTGGTGAAAAGCTGGGCGTTGCTCTTGCTTTTGGGCAGCTGAAGTTTGTCACCTACTACACAATGTTTAGAAAGTCAAGTCAAGCTGAACATACAGGCAGCATTCTTCTATGGCAAATGTGTGTCTTCAATGCTTACTTGAATGTGTGCTTATTTTGTTAACTGGCATGTGAAGAAAAGTTGTCTTCGTCTAGTACTGCCTCACACTTGCATATAGACCTTCCCCACCCTCCTGTTTTTCCTCTCCTTTTTTCTTTTTTTTTTTTCTTTTTCATCTAGTCGTAGTTGCAATACTACTGGTCATGTACCAGCTATCTGAGGATCTGTGTTTATTGATACTGCCAATGATAGTATAATTCCCATCCATTTTGTGGATACTGTGTGCAGACTATGGTCCTCAGAAATATGAATTTATTGCTGAAATGGTTTCATCTGAACAAAGAGCCATGCCTAAGTGAAGCATGTGCTCTACAGTGTATGCCAGCCATTGTCTGACTCTTCACTCTGACAGAGACAGCCTCCGGTACATCTTGGATGTGTGAGAAATACAGCTTTTTAAGTTTCCAGTATTTCACCTCAGAATCTCACTCAAGCTGTTCCTCCCTCACTTGAGGGGTCATTGCTTTGTCTCTCCTGGGGTCTCTGTATCTGCAGGAAAGGCAGGGATTAGAGAAAGGCCTTTCGCAATCTGGATGAGCAGACTTCAGCATGTTCAGACCATGCACTTCTGGGTGACCAGGACAAGAAAACATGCTGTGTATCAAGCGCTGCTGCTGCATTCATCCCCACAGGAGAATGGAAATAAACTTGTGCCCATGGTGTGGATAATTTCCTCAACAACAACAGCAACAATAATAGTAATAAAATTCACCTAATTCTTACACTGGGACTGTTAACTGGCTATGAAATGAAGGGGTTTGGGCATTTGGCTAGAGTTAGGCAGATGCGTTTGAAACTTCTTGAAAGTTTCTCTTTTACCATTCACTTCAGGTGTGCATTGCTTGTGTGTTGATCTATTTCTAGGGTAGTCTTCATGTCCCAAATACTGTTGCCTGAAAGACTGGTGTGAGATTTACTGTGGGATAATGGATTGCTTGACGTTTTTGCTCTGTTTGGATACATTTCTAGGACTGAAGAAACATGCCTGATCCAAAACCTGATGAAAGTAGATGCTCCTCTTCTTATCTGTATCCTGGTGTAGTTTGGTGCAGGAGCGCTATTTCTGTCTGTCACCTTTCCAGCCCGCTTGGATGCGGACCTAAGACAGTGCTACCCTCTGAATGCCTCAGAAGCAGGGATGCTGTAGGGATGTGTTGTTCAGTGTATGCTTGGAGCAGTGAGGATGGCTCCCTAGTTGGAAGCTAGGGACAACGCTATGAGGAAGGATTTGAAACAAAGTTTGAAGTAAGGGGAAAAGGAAAGCTGTTTGGGAGAGGATGGGGGGAATGTCCTATGTATGTTGTCATTTGCTAGGGCAACTTTTTTTAATACTTTGTTAATTAATAATTTTCTCTGCAAGCAAAGTTCATGAATCATTTTCTCCTTATAAGAAGGCAAAGAAACACATTCCTCTTCCAATAGCTTTTTGTTATTATTTAGTAAGTTCTTCATTTTCTCCATGTGGTGCCTTCCCTCTCCCCCCACTCCACCGACACCACAAATCAGTACTATAGCTAGTAGTTTAACAAGCACTTACAGATGTGCTCATTCCTGCTGAGCATTTTGCTGCCTGCTTTTTGTGTGCTGTAGCATCGACTGAGTGGGAGACAAAGGGATGCGCTGGGCAGCTCAGGGTGTGTAACCCCTCCATTAGCACAGCCAGCTGCTATTCCTGTTCTGGCTCATAGGATACTGCTGCTAGATTTCAATCTCTCCTCACTCCGCTATGCTTCAGGGCTGCCTTCAGCCCTGTCACAGGGGATGACTCTTGCATTGTGAGTACATATGTGCCACTTAGGATGAAAATCCATTATAAAATGCCTTCTGCCATTTACTTGGTTTGGCTGTTACTGGCTGCAGTAACTTGCCTGGTCTGCTGGCTGGTGGTCCTCTTGCAGGTATGACCAAAAATTTCTCAGAGGGAGCTGTTATCGAAGCTTTTAGGCATTTAACTTCAGTTACGGAAAAGGAATAGTCATTAGAAAAATCAAGCCCTTCATCTGAGCTCATGAAATCCATGCCAGAGTTTTATTTTGATCATGTGAAGTTGGGTGGGCAGATCCCCAGACGCATTTCTAACCAGACCTGCTTAAAGCTGCTGGACAAATATTTGAAAGGCATTACCTGCAAGAGTTAATTTGCTAGCAAAAACTTGTCTCCTGATCTCCTGCTGGAGTGAGCAGGAGGAACTTACACCACCAGCAGTGCTAAGTTTGGCCAGTTATCTCCCCTCCCTGGTTGCTTTTTGGAAGCAATGAAGCTGGGGAAAAAAACCACCCCAAACACAAAAAAACTTACTCATGATATTTCAGTTTTTCCACTGATGTGACATCGTTGGATATAACATAGAAACAAGTTGTCAAAATAAAGGGGAGGTGGCGGGGGAGGATGGGAACTGTGCTGCCTGATTGAAAACATCCACTGCTGTTTTGGAGAGACAGTAGCTGGGATCGCTTTGCTCGGAGGCCTGGTACAGGGCGCACGTTGGGATGCGTCTCTGCGCCTGCAGCGAGGAATTGTTCAGTGTCAGTAATACATCGTGCTTCCTTTGGAGAGCCTCTGAGCCTCCCCAGGTGCCCCTGCAAGCTCTGCAGCCCTGCCTTTGTTTGGTGCTCCTCCTTTGAAGAGGGCTGCATCTCCCCTTGAGGCTTTTTGCCTCTACGCAGGGTCTGGGTTTGCTAACGGGTTTTCTTGTCTTTATTCTTGGGATGCGGTGCAGATCTCAGCATGTGTGCATGCATGTGAGGTCTTGAAAGCGGAAGGGAGACAATTGGGGATGGGTGTGGGATGTGCACACTTTAAAAAAAGAAAAAAACATTGAGAGAGGCTGCTGGGATTTTAAACAGACTAAACCCTGTGTTTCTGTTTAGGTGGTGCTCTTTAGTGGGACTGAGCAAACACTACTTCAGTGAGAGTTTTTTGGTGCTGAGCTTGTCAGAATTTGCAATGCTTTCAAGGCATTGTCCTTCTAAGCAAGTTATGCTGCCAATGCAAGTGGAAAAAGTTCAGGTGGAGCCCTGTGATGGTAGTTAGGCTGATTCCTCAGCTGTGGCTTTTGTTACTACCTGGGGTATGTCTCTAGTTACTTTGCGTGAACTTGTGAGTGAGCTTTTCATCAGAATGCAACACACCGCAAATGGAAGTGAGGTCTGTTTGAATTATGTGGATTGTGAACGTTCACGGAGACTTTTGTACCAAGTTTTACAATATCATTAAATAAATTCTTCAACGTAGTGAAATTTTGATGGAGAAATGATTGCAGGTGATAGCATTGGCAGCAGTGTTAATTTAGCAAGATTAGGATTTTCATGGATTTAAAAAAAACACCCAAACAACAAACCACCACCACAAAACCAAATAAAACCACAACAAAAACCCAGCAAAGACCCCTTGCTGAAATTTGAAGAACTCAGTCCAGGAATGTGTTACATTTACATTGATTGTTTATAAAATTCTGGCTTTAAAAAAGTTTACATTTATCGGGAGCATTTTATCTGGTATCAATCATTTAGGACTTAAAACACAAATAAAAGCCAAAGCAGTAATTTGGCAAGCACCCTACTTACGTAATGAATCAGCACAGGAGCTGGTGCTGCTGTTGTTTACAAAGACTATGAACTAGTTAAGCCATTTATAGTGAGCCAATCTCATGGTATTCCCATTATTGCCTTGATAGCAGCTGAAATCATTGCAGGTGGTGGGTCTGTGATGAGTGGAAGGACCTCATAGCCAGTGTTTCCCTTGTCTGTAGACATCAGCAGAACAAGTGTTCATGCCTCATTGCAGTTTCATTGCTCCTGTTGTTGCATTTACCAACAGGAAAGGTATAGGCAGCTTGGTAACAAATGAGTTTTCTTTTGGGCACAGATACATCCAGTCACAAACCAACCGATTGTCTTAAGCTGCCTATCCTGTAGAACAGCAGGAAACAGGATTTACAGAGATACAGCTCATTAGTCTCTGGGTATGTCTTCTATAAACTACCAGGGTTGTGTAACATCTAAGAGGGGGGATACTGAGTGCAAGACAGCGACCTCTAGTTAAGGTCTAAATACTAAGCTGACTGCAAATCAACAAAAGTAATTGTCAGGAAGTGCCACATCCTGGTTGACATTTGCATGGTTTGTGCTGTTCTAGAAGGAAAACAAAGCTTGAGGTTGCTGCTGCTGTTTATCTTATGTTTTTGCTTTTTCTGTTAGCAACATAGTTTAAGCATCTTTTATATCTTTTTTTTTTTTTTTTAAGTGTGTGTGTCTAGATGTATTTTTACACATCCTTTCCTATGGGAAAGGATGGGCTGGGGAACATAGTGACACGAAACCTGGGAGTATGTTAGCAATTGGATTTGGTTTCATGCAGCCACAGGAAATGTAGTGATTGATTGAGGGCCTGCAAGAGCTGACCTTTCTTAAAGCACACATGCCCCAGGGGCAACAGGATCCATTGATAGGTGGCTAGAAAATAACTATTGTTCACTGACATCCTTTGTTTTCTTCTTCTTCCTTTTTAAAACAGGTTTGAATTATAACTTGACTGCTGATGTGGCAAAGAAGGAAAAGAGCCAGCAACCCAGAGTTTACTTTGTGACTTCTGGAGAGACAGTGGGCCAGATCACAGAGAAGTTACAACTATCGTACATGCAGGAAAAGTGCGAGCATTACCTAGCGTATGTCAAGGTCGGTTCATTCCTGTCCTTACATTGGCCTCACTGCAATTCCACTCTTGGTTTTTTTTTAAATATTCAACCAATTACAGCGGTGCTGCTTGGCTTCAGATGTTCTTTGTTTTCCTGACAGGTAGATGAAGTTTTTTGGGTGGAAGCTCAGAACTTCTTGCTTGGCATGATTTGTCAGTCTGAGTACCATTGGGCCTTCAACACCTGGTGCCAGGAATATGTATTTTATTTAGTTTTGATCAGGCACATTTGCAGGGGATTTCTTTCTTCTTTTGGCTTGGTTTGTTGCTACACTTGTAATACTCAAAATAAGGAGGCAAAGCTTTGTTTTGGCAGGAGCAGCAGGTTTAGTGTTTAGTTTTGTGTAAGGTCTGACTGCACAAGGGGCTGGTGATGCAATCTGCATGGGAATGGCAGGATAACATGGGGTCTGTCCTGAAGCAATTGGGCTCTTGGATTTAAAGAGCACCCTGGATTTCATCTGGGCTTGAAAATAGCAGTGGAATAACTTAATTTCACATGTGTCATGGTCCTAGGGATACAGAGTGCTTTCCAGACGTGCTGGGACATAGATAGGGTCTCTTCTTCCTGTGACAAACTCTTGGTCCAGGGTCTGCTAGGACTGTAGTTATCTTCGCTTGGTAGCTGTTGTTGAAGAAATGTCGCCCAGGTGCCATTCTGTTTGCAAAGTAAGCACAATAGTTTTCTTCTCAGCTGAGAAATTTACAGAATGGATTTGAAAATTATATAGGAAGGAGATTTATCTTTTAAACCATGTATGTCTCACAAGCACTAATCTGTATCACTAATCTAGATGGCAGTATGAGGCAATATGGTGGTGTGGCTGAGTTGCATATCCTCCTTACTGAAGGACGTATTCCCATAGTATGACCTAAATGCAGTGGATATCACTTGGCACTGTCTTGTTTTGAGAATCAGGCAGGTCCAGACATCCCTAAATGTATAAACTTTTCCAGGAAGCTTCTTTGTACCTAAAAACTGTGAGAACGGGAGATAAAATTAATCCTTTGACTTTATCAACATTTTGTGCGTGGCTGTTGAGAGAAAATAAAATAAATAAAGGGACCACCAAGGAGGAAATGATGTTCTGTTAAGTTGTGTGGATCTCTGGGAAGAGTCTAGGTATCTTCTGTGTTTTTTTTGTTTCTGGAACAACCTTTACTTTCTGTTGTGGAAAAGTTCGTTAAATAAAATGTAGACATATGAGATTACCATTACTTAGAAAATGTGGCTGTGAGTTTACAAATTCGGGTCTTTCTCAAATGAGCACATCTGGTTAAGCTTTAATGTATTGAGTTCAGATGAAAAGGAACATGTCCCTTTCTATCTTATCCCAATAATGATTTCTTTCACATTAGTCCTGATGTAGTTTTTGGGTACTGTGCAGAATTTGTTAAAGGGCAACACATGCCCAGAAAACTTTTATTTTATTTTTTATTTATTTTTTATTTTATTTATTGTAACATTTCTAGCTGATGTTGGGAATGCAAAGGTAAGAACTATTTTTCTGGGGAATTTCTGGGAAATTTGACTTTTATAGGCAAGAGAAACTTTTAAACGTGTTTAAAAATACCAACAACTTAAAGCAAAACAGCTGGTTAACAAACAAAGCTACTGGCTTTCTATATGATGTAAGCAGCTATTTTTCACAGTTGGAAGAATAGCAGGAAGTGGTGTTTGTTCGTGAAAGGGAGAATGCGAAGTAGTGGAGAAAGATAATCCCTGTGCTTTCATGGGAAAGGTGATATGATCCACGAGGCTACATGTCATTAGAAACATCAAAGAGAGCCCTGCAGACTTCGGAGGAGTGGAAATGGGGTCATGATCTTTCACTGCTATCCTTAAGTAACAGCTAGTAAAACAAAAACAAAAACCCTGAAAACCAAAAAAACCTTCCCAAACTCCAAGCGGAAATCTCCTTGATTGCATAGTTTTGTGATGAAATGGGCGATAAAAGACGTGGCCTTAAAATATATGAAGTATTTCACTTAGGCTTTCCTCCTTCCTTTTATTTTACTGTATGCCTGATGAATTCACCTCCATGGCAAATTGGGTTGTTTACAGTTGCATCCTTAATCTGTTTACTTTATTATTGTTCATTTGAATCCCCGGTGACAAATAGGTTTATACGGTTACATGACGATGTCAGTTCTGGACTGCCTGTGATCAAGGATAGAGAAGCTGTTTGGACTTGTGCATGACCTCATGTGCTAGCTGACAAACCTTACGAAGTAAACAAGGTGTCCAGTCCAAATGGCACACAGCAGAGCTCTGTAGGTTGTGTTAGTTAAGCGAAAGCCTGTGCTGTGCCTTGCTGGATGACATTGTCTTACAAACATGTAGTTCTAGCATGTTGGAGGCATAAAACAGGAGGACTGAGAAAAGTCATGGAAACACTAGACCTATACAAGCTTGCTGCAATTTCTTTTGACAGATTTGATCTCAAGAGACCCCAGTGAAACAGAGCACTGAAAGAGTTGCAGGCTGCAAATAAACTGATAGACATAATCATTAGATTGTTTTGCAATTGATAAGTCTCAATGTTTTGAGCTTGACTCCTTTCCTGTTTGTGGTCCCCTCTCAGGACAGAAGCTACTGTTCTTATCACTGCTAATGAATTTGAGTATTAAAGTCTGTCATTCTTCATAACTGCGTGACTGATATAAATGGATCTCAGAAGGTTTGTAGGATATGTGTAGCTCAGAACTTGATCTTGTACAAGGCAGGCTACTGAATTACAGTTCAAGTTACTAGAATTATGGTAATTCATGAGAAAGTGTGTTTTTCCGGTTGAGAACAGAGAATGAAATGGAAATGCTTTGGGACTTCAAAATGCTTTGAGTTTGGTTTTGTAGTGGGCATGGGGAAGTAGAGGAGAGATGCAGTTTTCTGATTCTTTGCCTCCACCCCCCAGAACCTGTTTGATGATTTCTCATTAAGAAACTTTAATTCTTCAGTGTACCCAGACAGTAATTCCAATACTCACAGTGCCTCAGGTATCATCTGCAAAAGCTGCATTTATTTTAATTTAAAAACCTTTGGAGGTTTGACGGATATGTGCCGTAGAAAATGGATAGCTGGTGCAAGTGGCTATTAATTGTGAAGTTCAGGAGCATTGCTGCTTTTCTTATGTGGGTGCATAGCTGATCCCTGCTGTCTCCTGGGAGGTGCTCTGCTGCTGGACAGTTCCTTCTCTGGCTACCCAGGGATCATGGTGCTGCCGGTCTTCTCATCGGTGATAAAACTAGTAACAGGACATAAATACATTATGTGGTAACCTTCCATCAATTTTGCTGGAGGAAAATGAAGCAAAAGTTTAAATCTGATAAACTTTTTTTTTTTTTAATGGATTTGCTTTTTGGTAGAAGGAACAGCAAACAAATGTGAGAAAATGGAATGTGGTACTAAGGAGCAGAGGCACAGAAGTCAGTAGAAACAGAAAAGATGAAGAAAATAAATGGGTTTGGAGGCTTTACAAGTATCTCCTTAATCTTGATATCTGGGCCCGCAGCTGAAATGTAAAGTTTTCTCTTGGGATCTACACTCATTTGATGGTGCTCAGAAGACTTGAGCTGTGTGTTTAAGACCTGCTGTGGTCAGGGCATCAGCTCTGAGGAAATAGTTTCCCGTTTCCAGTAACTGCCCTGGTTGTTTCCTGCTCATGTGGGCTCCCCTAATATTTAGGATAGATTTGCCTGTGGATGGGATGAGAGAATTTGATGCAGACAGCAAAGCACCTTGTGCCTGCAGATTTATGCAGGGTCATATCTTGTCTTCTTTGATTTATCACAAAGGTGTAATGGTGATGATAGTGAAAGCCCATTGTACAATTCCTGGTTTCTTACCCCACTGTGGGCCGGCCAGCTGGGCTGCCTGTTGCTACCAGTCACTGCTGTTTGTGTGCAGAGTGAACGTTGTAAGAGCTTCAAACACCATCAGCAGTCCTGGCACATGATTAAACCAGACACAGCATTTATATTTTCCAGAGATCTTTATCTTGGTGGCTGTCTGGTTGTTTTAAGCAGTCTCATGTTGCTCATCGTATTAACTCTTAATGGATCCAGTCATAGCTTATGGGGAGGATGGTGCTGAGAAGCAACAGAGGAGTGGTGATACCAAAGACTTTTCATAACCGTGTGTAGGTGAGAAGCTCGCGCTGTGTTTGTACAGGCACGTTTGGAATAAAATGCTTTTTCAGCAGAAATTGCACAGCTATGTTTTGTTCGCTGCTGAATTCTGTAGCCAAAACTTTGCCTTTTTATAAGTACGTTTCTGGCCTTTGTCTGCTGTGCATCACTGTTACCTCAGGTGTCTAAAGATGCTCTGGGCTGCTGATCTTACACAACTTCATCTCTAGTGCTTGTCAATTTTAGTCACTGTCTGTGGTTGCGATTGTTTCTGCCTCTGTAGCTGTTTGCTCTTATCTGAGGGGGATGTGTGTATTGAAGTCTTTTATTCTAGTATCTAGTATTGTATCTAGTATTATAGTAACCTGTTTTTTTCTAGAGTCTGGGTAGCAAAGCATTCAGTCTCACCATCACATGTGATGCAGAGATGGTATCATTTTGATCATTTGCAAGACGAACTTTCTTCTGAAAGTTGTCTGCCTGTGAATTAGCATGTCTATGTTAAGGTTTGGCTGGTGGTGTTACAGGATAAAGAGACAGCCAGAGATGCTCCAGAGCTTATAATGAAGTGTGGGGTTGGTTTTTTGTGGGGTTTTGGGTTGTGGTTTGTTTTGTTGTTTTTTTTTTTTTAAATGGGGCTCGTTTCTCCCATACTGTCAATGCGGAGCCTTTTGGAGGGGAGGGGTTATCAGCAGAGCTTACTGCTGAAGCACTCAAATTAGGTTTGTTGGCTCCAGGCTGAGCCTGGTTGCTCACATATGACGAAGTTTTTCCTGGGATGCTGGTGCTGCAAGTGATGGATCGCGTATTGGACATGGACAATAACCACTGCTTTGAGGAGGAAGAGGTGAAA